CCCAAAAGGTTCCGCTTAGGACAAACGACGTGGATGGAAGTTCCATCATAACTGCGAAACTGTGTGGATGTACAGAATAATAGCTCTCAGAGTTGTTGTAATCGTAACTTAAGTATTACTCGCATGCAGCTATGGCAATGCTTTCTTTATAGATCACGAGATGTGCTCAATTGACTTAAGCGCATTCACTGTATTGATCTCATGCATTCATCAACTATGATTCTGCGTGTGATTGATGCTCAGTGTCTGTGAAGAAATCATGAAATAATCATGAAGTAATCATGAAGAAAGAAACATTATCAGGTGTACAAATTGACTTTAGAGGGTAACACAATAATCGACACTGCACGGAACCTTCCCGGCTGAGATACGATTGATGTATGGTTCACCCGTGATTTCTCTTGGTCTGTCCGACGATAGCCGAGAAACATATCAAACGATCTAACAAAGGGACATGAAACTACTGCAACCACAATCCATGAACACGGATTTCTACCGCACGTTGAGGTTTGATGCCGTAATTGCTTCGTACAAAGCCGAAGGAAACCTTGAACTGCCATAATGCGGGGATCCTGGGGTTGGCTTTTACGTAGAAGGTGCAGGTGCGAATATGTCCTGCGAATTAGCAACAGCGAGAAGCTAGTCTAATTGTAGTTGCTTTCACGAAAGTCCATACACCAGCAAACTTTCAGAAGACATGATGCCAGCTATTGCTCGAAAAAAACGAGAGATGGGAAATTGTTGGATGAGATTTGGAACAAAATGGTTGTGGGTAACATTGACGAATATATTTTCTCTGCGGGGAATCAAATTAGTCATCGACAATTCCTTCCCATGTTGTGGAGAGCGAGGATCCTCCACAATAGCGCTACCCCAAAGACATTTCACATCAAGATAATTTCCGATTGAAAGACAAGCCCGACAGCCTTAGGATAAATCTTAGAAGGATTCAGCGACGATATAAAAACATCAAAGCGACCCTAGTATGTAGTATAAAATTACGCTCGCTCCCCGGACTCTCTCCCATGCCTCGGTAACGCCCCTTCATTTCGGATAAGCCTAGAATTCTCTAGAAAACCACAACATGTTTCAAAACGTGTCAAAATCCATTAGAACACAACAACTACAAAAGAAACGTTTTGTTGCACGTCTGAGACAGCTGTCAAATACTCAAAAGTGGATTTTAGTGGGCGGATTTGTCGTTTGTTGCACATCTATGACAGCTGTCAGACGTGTCAATTGTAAAGTGGGGTTTCGCAGGTGGTGATTGAAGCTATCCAAAGCATTAGTATTTGCCGCAGAATTATTCAAATCTCACAGCCAAGCGATGAAGGATAGTATCAATGGCCAATCGTAGTAAAGAAGTTTTCATTGTAATTTTGAAGTTCCATATCATACCGCAACAACGGTGTCTAGTCTATCCCAATATTTCCAAACCCCAAACACCTCATCAATCATCCATTGTCTATGATTCTTCATGGTAGGCAATAACCACCATCACAGATGATATCGGTTCCAGTGCAGTAGCTTGAAGCATCACTAGCGAGGAAAAGGAATGCACCCTTCAACTCATGAGCCTCTCCTTCTCTACCCATAGGAATCTTATCCTTCCATGTAGCTTTTATTTCAGGTGGACAGAATTCGGAGATATCAGTTGCAATATAACCAGGGGAGACGGTATTGGAGCGCGCAAATCCAACCCATTCTACTGCGAGGGATTTACCTGTGATTGAATTAGCATTTCGTAAATAGGATATTAGAACGTATACGAACATAAATGGATGACACCGGCCTTTGCAGCATTGTATGCAGCTTGCAACTGGGGAATATTGACGATGTGACCACTCATACTTGCGGTTGCCACAAAGCTTCCATACTTGAATCCTTCCAATTTCTTTCCGTCAATAGTGGTACCCTCTTTCTTTTGTCTGCGCCAATGCTGGCCTGCAGCACGAGCACAGTAGAATGTTCCATCTAAATCCGTTGTTACAACCTTTTTGTAATGATCCAATTCTCCATCAAGGGCAGGACCTTGGATCCACGGAATTCCAGAGTTTGCGATAAAGATGTCGAGACGACCATTGAGATCAGTTACGGCGGTGTTGACAGCCTGTTCCACGGCTTCGTATGAGGTAACATTGACTTGGTATGCTTTGCCTATTCGTTCACATGGCGGTTAGCAATAGTCGCGACATGAACCTGGCTGGTTTCAGTAAGTGCGAGTACTTACAAGTAACACCATATTCCTTCTCAATCTTCTCCGCCTCTTGAATAGCCTTCTTGTTGCTATTGTACCAAATAGCGACATTAGCTCCAGCTTCGGCGAGCGCATGCGCGACAGCGAGTCCAATACCTGCGCCTGCACCAGATACGATAGCAGTTCGTCCTTTCAGTGAAAACATGGGCAGCACCTTGGATGTATAGGTGGGTGCCTCAGTGAGGTTGTGCTTGAACTTTCCATCATTCATTGCTTCGCCGGCCATTATTGCGATTTGATGTGTTTGTAGTTTGAAAAATGTGAAGGGTGGTGATTTGTACAGAGGAGGAGCAGAGTTGATGAGGTGAGCTTGTGTTTTGAGAGCAAACAAAGGTGGCAGATACGGAAGTAGATATGGAGGAAGCTATTCGCATGCGTGGATAGTGGGGTCGCACGGTAAACATGTCGTCCTAGCATGTGCCATCTTAACAAGGAAGATTGTCAGGGCATGAGTGGAGTGATCGTGCGAGATATATGCATTGTAAGGTGTGTTGACCAATTATCACGCAGCTGAAAGTGGGAGGAGGGGTAGTAAATGCCGCGTTTGTCCGTCACAGAACACTACGAAGTAGTAGACCGTACGATGGAGTTGATACATCCCGCCATTCCGAAAGGCGTCTTCATAGAGAAAAGTATATGCGGAAGAACTCAATGTGGGATTCCGCCGCCAGAGCTAGTTGAAAGAGCGATGTTGATGTCATGTTTGTTAATAAGAACAATTGATGGAAATTCTTCGGTGGTGTTTACCCCTGAGGCTAACCCCACATTGCCGATTCTAAATTTTCTCTTCAAGGTTAGCGTTGTTTTAGGATCATCCCCTCCTCTTCGTATCACGAACGAATCTGGTCATGATTTCGTCTCTAAGTCTGGAAGAGGCAGGTGTGAAGAAATCCTCGCATCCCATCGATTAGCTCAGGATCTCATATTGTGCCTATTAACATCCGGTCGTTGCAGCCAGGTAACGCAACAAACATAGCTTATCAATCGAAGCATCGTAAAACCTAAAGGTATTTGGGGTAGACAGAAAATACCAAAAAGGTCTTGATAATACTCGCAATGTAGATTGAGAGGAAGTGCAAAAAGGGGATAAACTGTAGTATGTTTAGTGCATACAGCCCCAGTGAAAGTTTTGCTTCTGCGTCAGTACCAACAGTTGGATGGTATTTCTGAAGAAGTACTACAGAGACTGGCAACGTTTAGCTTGGAGATTTGCGGCGTAGTCCATCTACAATCTTTTGTCGAGGTTTTGTCTGCGCGGTAGTCTGATATTAGTATAGAAGCTATAGTATCTCTACTTGTAGCTAAAGGCATTCGATAGATGCAAGGCACAGCACAGCGCATGAGGCCACCTCGTAGTGCTTTTCTTTGCGTCGGTAGCATCTGTTGAAAGAGCTACAAAATATACAAATATAAACCTTTCATAAGACGAGATAAGATGGTACCGGAGCTTTGGTCCTGAAAGTAGTGCTAGTAACGCGGACTGGTAGAACAAAATCCCGCAGGGGAATATTCTTCACTAACTCAATCTCACAAAATTACAACTTGTCCACTCTCCTCATAAGGTTTGTATCTACAAGCCTAGCAGTTCTTGCATGGCTCAAAGATTCATTGCCGACACTACAAGCCATTGAATGGTCCTTAAAGGATTCGTCAACGAGTAACTTAAGGGTCAATTTACTGCCATGCGAAACATTCCACGATGGGAAATAAAGCTTCGTCTTTCTGCCAACCGAAATAGAAAAAACCATTCTAGCAAATTCCGGGAAACCCTCGGAACAATTCAATGAGCACAAGGGCTGGATAAAGCGTAGCGATGCTAATGGATTATGTCTGTCTAGTTCCGTCAACGTTGAGGTCTACAGAAGTATTGAACGTATCTCTACGAAATTACACGTGAGGATGAAAATAAAGAGTTGAATCTCTAAGCTGGAATCTTGAAACAATGGTGATTTTGCATTCAACTCACTGTCTTCATGCTACATACTCATTATCTTTATTAATGATGGTGGTCTTTCAAACCTGCTGTTTGACTCTACACTGCAGTCATTTTTCTCTAAAATTTGCATATCTACTAATGTAATAGGACTCTCCTCCAACTCCAACTGATTAACCGAAGTCACTCTCCTCACATATTTTCTCAACACTTCCACGGTCCACCCCATCACGAACGAGCAATCAGGTGACACTTCTAGATTTCGCTGTAGACAAAAATCTAGAATTTGATCCACATTACCACCCCCACCTGCCCCGCGACCCCACACCCACGAAACCACACCATACTTATTACTCAAACAAGAAGCTCCGACGCCGCCTCAAGGCCGCTACGCCCTACCATGAGCCATCCGAGCCTCCGAGGAACTGTCTGCTCCGCCCCGAATAGCCACGTCATATCCGAACACTATATATACACCGCTGGATGGAAACTCATTTCGATATTACGGCCCGAATACATTCACATAATTCTGCATGGTATGCATCGGTTTAGTAAGCTATAACCTTCTTAGCTCCCGTGTTCTCTGATCTGCCTTATTTCTATGCTTTGAATCCCTGAACATCTTGCCTTCTTTCGCTCAGGTCGTTCGAACAACCTTCCATCTCTTCGTTAGGAGACTTGCAGCCTTGTGAACAATTAGCGACTGATCATAAGTTGTTTCTGCGTGTTCGATTGTACAGCCATCTATTTTGATCACTTTCAATGTACGCTGAACATCTGCCTTTCAGGTATACAGAATACTTCATCTTTGTTTCCACAATCGGGTGTTCTGATATCCTCTACACGCATCTCCTGATGCTTCAATTTGACTTTCATAGACTTTGGAAATAAGTTCATGGATCGATCTCGTCGTAGCTATGATGCTGGAAGCAATACAAAATGATTGGGCTTGATGAAATTCGGGAAACAATTTCACAGTCATTAAGGAAGCCAAAAACTACAGCGCAGTTCTGTAATCCCCGACCGTTGCTCTCGCAACCGAGCCGTTCATCTGCATCTTGTACCAAGATTTTGAGGTAAGTTACATAGTCACTTCGGCAATTTCAAGTCAGTTTCCATCCTAATCAAGGTACAAATGAAGTCCTTGGCGCTCGCGTCGAGGAACGCTTTCTAAGAGAGCCAAGTGCCAGATCAAGACTTTCCCTTCACGACTATCCGCATTTTATGGCATTCCCGGCTGCAAGATATGCAAAGTTCCATGGCGAGTGGCAGTGACGGTGGTCCGAAAGGAATGTTACCTGGACACAGGTAAACGTGCTTCGCTGATATGCATATTTCACACGCCGGTCATCAAATGATTCATGATACACATGAGGCTGCGGACCGAGCGAAGCTAATCCCATATCCAGACACGTATCGTGGCAACTCACCCCTTAAATATGGCGAAGGTTCGGTTGAGCTTAGACGAGGAAAACAGATGTTCTTGAGTCTTCCACAGCATATTCTACTCAGCACTTTCCCAAGTGGCGCAACTTATAAAGATGAAAGATAGTAAGTGACTGTATAACATCTTGTAAGGGGACACAAGTTCAATGGATAGCTGTCTTCCATTAATTTGGTAGCAATGTGATTTTAGTGATTGGTGGTAATGATAACCATGACCTCGTTTCCTTAATAGAAACAAATTCCTAAATGTCCTGCGCCCAAATCTATTGAGAAATCATCCGTTCTGCTGACATACCATCATCTCCTAGCACTTTAGCCTTCTGTAAAGTAGCCACAGTCTTCTGAATCACTGCTACATCCACGTTCTTTGTGGCACTTGCAAATCTGACCGTCTTCAACCATTCATTTGCATCCTCCTCGCTGTAATCCAAAGAAGTGCTGATATATTTTACCGCCTCAGCCTGGTTCTTCTCGAAATATCTAACTCCCTTGTCGATTTTCTCAAACAAATCGTCCAGCCTCTTATCTTCCGTGTTTTGAAGGACTTTTGTGCTGGCAACAATTTTCCAGCTACTCCATGGCGTATATATTTCCCCAATACGCTTGATCTCTCCATTATCGTAGTATCGTTTGGAGGTAAAATGTTCCCACATGAAGAAATCCACTGTACTATCGTTCACACCATTGCGTAGTTTCTCGAACGTTTGTAAAGGAACGACCTCGAATGGTCCCTCTGGCGATTGATTTTCGTTGAGCCAGCCTTGCTCATCTGCGAGAACAAATCCCATCACATAGCTCCCACTCCCAATTCTTGAGACTCCAATTTTGCCCTTCTTCAGATGTGCGATGCTATTCAATGGTCTGTTTGCGCCAGTTGAGATTGCCCAGCCTATTTTGATTCAATCAATCTGCCTTTATCACACCTGAAGCATATGCGCCTGAGGAAAGGAAAGACATACACAATGGTGTTTCAACATAAGTCCCGACAATTCTATATCCTCCATCTCCTTCCACATCAGATTTCCCCAATCCAGCTACCCAACCTTCAGTGAGACCAATACCTACATCAATTTCTCCCGAACGTATAGACGTAATCATATGCCCAGTGCCAGACGGGAATGGGATCAATTCGGCTTCAAGACCGAAATGCTTCTGCGCAAAGTGAAGAGGGGTAGAGAAGTGCTCAGGGACGTATCCAACCTTGAGAGGAGTTTGAGTTGCTGACATGATTGGGAGCTTTTTCCAGTCGTAAGTTTATTGAGGTACAATGAATATTTCTTGATGAAGCCTCGATTAATACGTAGCTATATAGTGACGTGATAGAGAATAGTAAATGAGCTCAAGACGGATTTCGAACGGGTATTCACCGGCATGGCGGGGTAAGTTATAGTGATCATTGCGACGCTAGAAGTTTCAGGGCTCAGTTTTAGCGTGATTTTTCAGCCACACCTCCAGACCGCCACAACCTTCCATTGTCTCCGGGGATCCCAACCATCTTCGACCTCCAGCTGTACCTTATCTCTCCCCCACGATTTAATACAACAACATAAACAATATGGCTTCAGCTACTGCGCAGCGTCGTCTTCTCCAGGAGTATCGCGCCCTCACAAATAATCCACCAGACGGTATTACCGCAGGTCCAGTGACAGAAGATGACTTACTTTGCTGGGAGGCTTTAATAGAAGGACCAGAGGGCACACCATTCGAAGGGGGAGTGTTCGCTGCCGAGTTACAGTTTCCCAAAGACTATCCACTTTCACCGCCGAGTATGAGGTTTCTTGGGGAAGTTTGGCACCCTAATGGTTGGTTCTCCTGTTTTTCTGTCTTTCGACATTAGAGATGGGGACACATCGTAGCTTGGAGAGTGCAGTACTAATACGTGCTATTTTTAGTTTACCCAAGCGGTCTTGTCTGTATATCTATTCTTCACCCGGCCGGAGACGATCCAAACCACTATGAACATGCATCGGAACGATGGTCACCTATACAAAGTGTCGAGAAAATCTTGATAAGTGTGATGAGTATGCTAGCGGAACCAAATGATGAAAGTCCGGCAAACGTGGAAGCTGCCAAACAATGGAGGGAAAATAGGGCGGAATATGAACAGAAGGTCCGCGATGGATGCAGGAGAATGCTAGGATTGTAAGACCGTCGGTGGTTGAGGTCTTGAAATTCTATATCCATTGATTTGAAAGAGGCCGGGCTATATATACTGGTCCCTATAATGAATCACAGGTCACTGAGGGAAGACGTCGTACTTCCTAAGGCCGATCTCACAATCGCATGGCTTACGACATGAGACTAGGGTTGAACCACATATACAGAATGCTTAACAAGGGAAGGGAGTTTGGAAGCGTATCGAACTACATATCATTCGGTACTAGGTGACAGGTCATAAATCGGGGGTATACAACATGGACATATGAGCTTCATGAAGATAAATTAGAAATATCATTATGGGCCTGAGAATCTTATACGCCTCTAATTGTCCACAATCTTTAAGGTGAAGAATGTTATGTGGCCTATTACATTCGCTTTTTTAACACATTGCTGAGTATGAGTATTTGTACTTTAGCTGTTACCATTGCCAAGTCTGAGAAGTCGTTCCCCTTTCGCTAGGTCTCGTGTTTCGATGGGCGAACAGCCTCAAAAACGCTACTTCGAGTAGATGACTACCGGATAAATGCAAGCGAGTGTCGAAAATGCAGCCAGGTGGGTCAAAGTTAAGATGGCTACTAGCTAGGTAGCTACTTCAACGACGCTTGTTAATTCAAAGGCAAAAATTCAAGGCCTGGACGGTATCAAAGAAAAGTCTGGAGACTAAATCAAGAGTGTTCGAGTTAAATACCATGGGAAGAAGAGCTAGAATTGTTCTGTAAAAATGTAACTGGGAGTGTAACCTTTTTAGGTCCAATGCAACCCAGTGTATGTCTGGGCTTATAACCAGATAAAATCAACCACGCTTCTACGGAGTATAATGGTATGAGTCTTTCCAATCCATGACACTCACGGGCTGATGTTTTAGAATATTTGATCACGATGCAGTGAATGTGGTCGATTGGGTACGCAGATAGACATGTTGAATAGTCAAAAAAGTACTAAGAGATTCCGAAAATGTTACTTCTCGCATTCGCAGTGAGTTTGATGCATGACTGTCAGAGTTTGCTAGAAGGGGAGACCGTGAGATTATCTTAGAAGTAGGATTACATTGGCACCCAACTCTGCCGGACACTTGACGTGTTCTTCAATCTATACCGAATCGATACCAGCGACAACCAATCGGAAAGTCTTACTTGCACCTCACTGTGGCTTAGCTATGCGAGTCAAACCCAACATATCAGCAGCATTTGCCTTACCGTGCTCTGTCGATTACAGAAGCTTACTGAAATCTACGGGGTGCGAAGTCTCTCGATTGTACTTCAGGATATTGAAGATGAGCTATCATTGCCAGACCTCAATGCGAAACAGAAGAGTGAACTCGAAGAAATCATTGTCGGTTGTCGAGATGTTCTTGGGAAGTTGCAACGAGCGTTGAGCACATATGGTGAATTTAAATGTGACTCTAGAGGTGTGGGCTATAAGGCGAATTTTTTTTGGAAACGGTTTCAGTGGGAGCCTGATGACATCAAAGAGCTTCGAAGTCGTGTTACAACAAATGTGACTTTTTTGAATGCATTTCGGGGGAAATATACTAAGTAATTACTTCCTTCGAGGTTGGATCTCTGACTAATACAATCTAGTGAAACACTACATGAGATAAAGAACAGGGCAGACCAATTTCATGAACGACAAGATGATCGGGAACTCAACAAGGAATCTTTAACGATTCTGGATTCGCTTACCCTAATCGATCATACATCTCAACAGCATGATTGCATCACAAAACGGCAAGCAGATACAGGAAAGCGGCTTTCTAGATTCGCCAGTGTTCATAGAATGGGTAAATTCTGATAAGCAGAAATTGTTCTGTCCAGGTATCCCTAGTGCAGGCAAAACGATACTTACATCAATTGTTGAAGAGCGCATTAACCCCTTCCGAAACGACAAAAGTGTTGGAATTGCGTACTTCTGTTGCAACTTTCGACGCCAGCATGACCAAAAGATTGATGACTTGCTATTAAGCCTTCTCAAGCAGCTCTTAGGATACCAGCCTTCACTACCAGCTGTAGTGAAAGATATATTTAATCTACACTCACCCAGGCAGAATCGCCCGTCGGCAAAGGAAATCTCTAGTACCCTCAAGTCTATGATTGGTTCGTATTCCAAGGTATTCATTATTGTTGATGCTCTTTATGAATGTCAAATGGCTAATGGTTGCCGAATGCAATTTCTGTCAGAGATTTTCGATATCCAGGAAACATGTCAACTAAGTCTTTTTTCTACCTCGAGACACATTCCCGACATTGAAAAAAGGTTTGACAGCTCTATGCGGTTGGAAATTCGAGCCAGCGATAAAGATGTAGAGAGATACTTAGACGGTCGCATTTCGCAGTTACCTGAATATGTACAAAAGAGAACGGACTTACAAAATGAAGTCAAGACTGCAATCATTACAGCAATTGATGGAATGTATGAACTCATTCCAACCCTAGCGGTAAATAATGCTTACCTATATACTTTAAAGGTTCCTGCTTGCCCGACTTAATTTTGATTCGTTAAGAGGAAAGCAGTCTCCAAAGGCTATGCGAAACGCTTTGAATAGTCTTCCAACTGGATCTGATGCATACAGAGATGCATACAAAGATGCTATGGAAAGAATTGAAGGACGGCTGGATGATGAGAGAGACCTTGCAAAGCAGGTCCTTTTATGGATCACTTGTGCAAAAAGGCCTCTTACAACAGCAGAACTTCAAGAAGCTATTGCAGTGGAGATCAACGAGTCGGAGCTTGATGAAACAAATTTCTCTGAAATTAGTACAATGATTTCTGTGTGTGCTGGATTGGTAGTTGTTGATGATAAAAGTAACATAGTGCGCTTGGTTCATTATACTACAAAAGAATACTTCGAGCGGGCACGAGACGATTGATTTCCTGATGCAGAAAACCTTTATTACTACAATTTGCGTTACATATCTATCATTCGAAACTTTCAATACCGGTTTCTGTCTAGATTCCAGAGACTTCGTGAAGCGGGTACGGTGTAATAAATTGTCGACATACGCCGCACGATTTTGGGGGCTTCAGGCTGGCAAGGCTTTAGTTTTAGAAAAGACATTAGAGCAAGCGCTTTTAAGATTTCTTGAAAGCCAAGCAAAGGTCGACGCATCATGGCAGTTAATGAATTCTCCTCAGGTACCGAAATCACACTTTGACCAGGGCTCAAGTCTCTAGTATTCAGCCTCTTACTACAGCCAACACTTGAGTAGAGGAATGGCAGAAATGCATATACAGGGTTCTTTAGACTTGACACTGTAATAGAACTATTGCTTCATTCGGATAAACTGAAAGTTGATTTAATGAACTCGCCAGGCTCGCAAGCGGAGTATATTATTCTTGATCCCAATGTTATCAATCAGGGTCGAACGCCACTCTCTTATGCGGCGGAAAACGGGCATGAGAAGGTGGTGAATCTCTTGCTTAAGATGGGCAAAGTCGAGATCGATTCTAGAGATCAATTCCATCAGACGCCATTTTTTCATGCGGTTGAGAACGGGAACAAGAATGTGGTAAAGCTTCTGCTTGATACAGGCAAAGTTGATGTCAATTTCAAAGATGGCAATGGTGGTACGCCACTGTATCGGGCGGCTAGATTCGGCAACGAGAAGGTGGTAAAACTTTTGCTTGAGATAGGTAAAGTCGAGATAGATACACTTGGTAAGCTTGACACAACGCCGCTATTAGGTGCTGTTCGCAACGGACACGAATCAATAGTAAAGCTACTACTCGATAGAGGTGCGGTAGACATCAATCGGATTAATTACGAGCACCGAACTCCAATCTCATATGCTGCTGAAAGAGGCTTTGAGTCTATGGTAAAGCTATTTCTCAATACAAATTCAGTTGATGTCAATGTTGTTGATAGTTACCACCGAACACCTATCTCCTATGCTGCTCAGTTTGGTAGCGAATTGATGGTAAAGCTACTTCTTGATACAGGGAAGATTGATATCGGCTACCACGACAGCAGGGGTCTAACACCATTTTCCTATGCTTGCATTAAGAGAAGTAGGAGCATCATTAAATTGCTGCTCAATACAGGTAAAGTTGATCTCAATCACAAAGATGAGAACGGGATGGCACCTTTATGGCTGGCAGCTTCTGCAGGCTACGAGGCAGTTGTCAAGCAAATTCTTCAACGGCTGCAGTGAGACAGGACTTATCAAAGTTGAAGAGTGTCTACCAAAAACAATTTATATATTACCAAAGTAAGATAAATTCTACCATAACGAAATACCAGTTTCAATACTGAATGGGAGACGTTCCAATGCCTGCTTCCAAGCTATCAGGAACGCCAAATCCAGGAGTCTGTTAGTATTTCGTTATCATAATCTCTTCAACTTTAATACGACTTTGCATTTCGTCGATGTGACATACAACATACTGAGCCTCCAACCCAGTGATTATGAGCATCTTCAATCATACAGCAAAACTGTCCTTGATGCAGGTGAGTTGAGTAAGCTTATCACAAATCTATCGTAGACCTGACAATTATACATCCCTTTTGCTTTAGCTTATTATGGCTGATGAATTGCCATCCGCCTGGCCTGGACAACGATTTGACTGTCCCCATATAAACTTTTTAATCCATCATTTCAACTGTGCTGTAAACTCGCTGGATGTTGAATACAAGTATAATGTGGAAGCGCATATCTTCACCCAGCAAGCTGTTACTTTAGGTAGAAGTGAGTGGAACACATATATGTCTGCTTTTGCCACTTACGTTCCTAAAGAGCATATTTCGGTCAATGCAGTCAGTCGGCTGAAACATTTTTACATAACAATGATAATAATCCCATTCAGACGGCTTTACACAGCGACTAAATGCATTGGAGATTACAATGCTTAGGTCTCTGCGATCCTCCTTATGAAGTATAAAACGGTAATGAGATACAAGGTCAATCACTCATAAGTACACACTATAACATTGAACATACCACAGGTCCAAGAAACATGATTCTATAATCGAGGAACAGGAATCGTTCAGTCATTTCATGACTTCATATACAACTTGTTTGATTCTAGTACTTCACAAAACTTTATGGATCAGCCATGCAAAAACAACCTTTTCCACATGAACAGCACAAGCAAATTAGATTGTCATTGCACATCTGAGCTCTCAAGAAGCGTTGAGCAGCGGTGATTAGTAACATATTTAACAAACACAAGCAATCTAATATTCCCTCGTGCAATCCGCTCATGCAGTTGGCGAATGATGTGTGAACAAGAGGATGAGCCTGAAACAGTGATTATGAATGACGTGCTAAAATACTACAGTACCCTTATCTTTTCCTGAGATTGTATAAGCGGTCCTCATCTATTTCCTATCATTCATCCAAAAAGGATTCACCACCTGTACAGAAGCCATTAGTCAACTTTCTAATAAACCAATAAATATATCTCCACACCAATCAACTGTATAGATTCATCCTTACAGATCCATATCCAATCTAACACAACACTCCGACTTCATTACAAGTGAACTAATTGGTATCGACGTACACAAACGAGTTTTAATTCATTCAATACAGTCAAAGCAATAGCCAGCCGTATTGAAACTCGCTAACATGAACGTGGCGTCACTAGCGTCATTTTACCAGTCTCCCAAAGTAATAAAGGCTTCTTCTTGCATTGTCTTCTATTCCAAAAAAAAAATCATAGTTTCAGTTCGACTTCTCTAGATCTCCTTACCCTTGAATTAGAAAAGAATATCTAAGACTCCGACAAATTGATCGCTTACTTCAAGTTCGTTTCGAGAGTTTACTACAACACTTTCTCTACTTCCAATCGATTTCCCCAAGAAATCATATCAAACAATATTCTAAACAACTCAATCAGACATATATTTCTGTAAAATGTCTTTTTATAACCCCTCTTCAAACCCATCCCGGCCAGCACCAAGAGGTGCAGGAAGAGCCAACAGCAGAGGAGGGCAAGGTGGACCATCCACTGGATCTGGTTCCACTGAGGGACAGAACCAAGTCAATTCTACCAATATGGCAACTACCACTAATGACAGTGGATTTTCACAGGTATGTGTCCATTCTCTTGCACATTCTCAGCCCAAGCCACCATACCCCTTCCACTAGAGACCTAACTAACAGCCCCCACAGAACACCGAGACTTCTGCTACAGCAGCTGCTCCTAAGAGCAAAGGCCGAGGCAAGAAGAACAAGTGGGCCAAGGTCGACTTGAACGACATTGCACCCATGGCAGGCCCTTTTATTCCTGCGCAGCCAAACCTCAAGGGCAGAGGCAACAAGAAGGAACAATCCTTTGGTCTCCTTGTGGAAGACAACAATGAAGCACCTCGTCGTCATGGAGGTCCTCATCGCGGCGTCAACATCGATGGAGAAACTCTTGGCGAGATCGCCGATCGCTTGAAGAAACTCAATTTGGAGAAGGCTAGGTACGTGCATGCTTCCTATTCTCACATCACATGATATCTCCTTCCACCTATACCAGTACTAACAATACATCAGTAAGCCTCTGACTGAGTTCACAATCTTTCCCAACCTGTCGCCCGAAATGCGGTACAAGATCTGGAACATCGCAGCACGTTCCTCGCCACGCATTCTGGAAGTCGTATTGCATGCCGAATTCCCATGCCCTCCCGGTGGCGACAGAGCTTACGTTGACGAATCAGATCCCAATGATTTGAGGAGATTGAACCATAGTATTTGGCTCATCTCCAAGCCTGGTCAGAAGGTTCCGGCAATATTACAAGCCACTCAGGAATCGCGTGCTGAGGCACTACGCTTGTACGAAAAGCGATACCTTAACAACTTTCCGGATGATTACCCATATCGTCAAAACGAAGAGCGTCCTTGGACATACTACAACCCGTATGTCGATATCATCTTCTTTGGCGACAGTACCTGCATTGTTACGCTGGTAAAATTCTTCCGTCGCCATTCCGAGGAGATATTCCCTCGACTTGCCTTCCGCTGCGCCAATTTCATTGGTACGTGCAAGTACAAATGTACTTATGACACCTGGGAATGGCCACATGGCGAAGATGAGTATTCCTGTTTTTGCGGAGCTGGAATCGGAGGTGGCGGAATTGATGTTATGGGCATCCTTCACGGAAAGGACAAGGAGATTGCTCGAAACTCGCTGGTTCCTGGAGTTCCGAGTGTAGAGGAAGTCTTCTTCGTCGTAAAGACGGAGTGTATGAAGTTCCCGGCTGGACAGATGCCCAGCAACTTAACTTTCCGCCCTGCGATCCACAATGGACTTACGCAGAGTCAGCAGAAGAAGAGAACGGACTTCGAAGCTGAAGTTGACAAGGCTCGGGCCGGAGAAGGCGTTCGTGCCTGTGGTGCCAACAGATGGATCGACAAGCGTCCAACATTTAGCTTTGTCTCCTTGGCTCCTCCATTGAAAGATGGCAAGGGCAAGAACCTCCAGCACGATGCAATTCAGGTGCCAACTGAGCACATGGGCAAGTTGACCTATCGTAATAACGAATTCCTCAACGATTTGGCGGTGAAGGCCAATCTCGAAATCGTTCCAGCCCCCAAGGCTTACGTTGGCGAGAAGAATCGGGAAATCGGCCTCTATAATGGCACAGAGAAAGGCATCGAACTTGCCAAGGAGGAAATCCAGAAGCAATTGGTATGTTGAATACTCCTTGAAATCGTGGTGAATTGATGCTAACATAAAACACAGCTGAAAGATTTCAATGCAAATCGACGTGGTCCCAATCACCAAGGTGGTGATGCAAGCCGCGGTGGTTTTGGGGGCCGTGAAGGATATGGTGGTCGCCGAGGTCGTGGTCAATAGACCGACCAAGCGGCAGGTGGAGTAAATGATTATACAGGCGTTTAGCACCTTGATTTCTAAGTAGGATACAATTGAATTATCTATTCGCAATCCATTGCTTCTAACGTGCTGTGAAAAATATAAGATATTCACTTACCCGGAGAATTGCCTTTAACAGTCAAGCTCTGCAAATCTCTATCACGACATTTGAATAATTTAGACATATTTCGAATACCCCCCCCCAAAAAAGTCTAGGCATGTCTCTATGTCTAAAGCAGACACAGCGCTTGTTGAACGCCGTTCAATCTATAATTCTATATCCAAAATTTGTATACATGGTCAATAAATCATCTATAAAATCGTAATTATCCCATTTTACAAATTCCCTGTCAAATCAAGTCAGTCAACAAGCATTTCAAAACTTTAGGAATATCTTACCACTCTTCTCTCCCTAAAATCATCATACAACCCCTCCCAAATATCTCTTCCCCTACAATCATCTCCTTCCGGCACAGGAACACACGTTGGTCCCTTTCCAATCCACTCCATGTCATCCAATTCCCACGGTTTCTTCAAAGGCCAATCACTAAAATGAACAAACTTTGACTTCCGAAATACTTGCAATGGGTCCCATACATCAGTTTCATGGTTTTTTCCCCAGAAGCCTCTATGTTTACCGACAGGTCTTCTGAATTCTCCTGTAAGAAGTGAATATAATTGATGATCTATTAAGCCACAGGAGTCTTTTTGTTGTGTAAGGACAGAATTAATGATATCCATGTCGTAGATACCCACACGGGCTTTTTTGACCTCACTTTCAAGCCGTAAGAACTCCGTCGTGGAGGGTTTGATGAGCATAATGTGGGATGCTAATTGAGGGACGCCTTCGGAATCGAGCCAGTAAGCTCGTGGTGCAAGGAGTTGCGTTGAGTCTGACATTGGAGCAAGAAATAATTCATCCATGGATTTCAGAACAGTGGAATCGGAATCTAGAACGAGAAGTCTCTCGTGGGATGTCTGGTTGAAAGCTAAGAGCTTGGTGTAACTCTCTGCCCATTCGTCTATTATGCATTAGCGTTTAATGATCTCATATGTTAACGCGGGATAAAAATGAGATTCATTACCCTGGCTACCATGTTTGTGCTTCAAAATTTGCACATTTTTCAATTCCACTTTGTATTCATCTCTAGCTTGTACCAGCATCTGAGTGATGATATTCAAACCCTTCCCATCAACATCCTCGATCCATTTATCTCTCCATAACTGAGGATAAATTAATACTCTTTCCGCTTTGCTCCCTAGCGTCTTGAGCGACTCAAACAACATCAATGCATTGCACAAATGATCTTGCGAGGTTGCATATGTAATGTATGCGTATTTGTTCCACTCGATTCCAGTCTCCTCGCCCGTTAGGGGCTCCACAACAACAGGAGCCTGTTTCAAACATGCAGGAGTTTTGTACTGTAGGTGTAATTCTTTCGCTTTCCGTGTTCCGTGAGGAAGTAATAAGAGTATGATGAGTCCACAGATAACGATGGGTATAGCTGTTCGTACAGGTCTTGACCGAAGTATTTGCGCGATACTTGGTTTGGCTGCCTTAGGAAGGGGTGGTTCATCGATATCAAAATTTATAACTGGAAGATAAGGCGAATTTTGCAAGAAATCTGGAAGATCGCGTGGTGTCTGATGCGACATGCTCGATCAAGCCTAAGGAAACTTCCAAAGATGTAGAGAAATGTAAACCAAAAATTAAGAGGCTTGTATCACGTGATAGATATCAGAAATGCAAGATCCGTGAGTCCAAACCAAGAGGATATTGATCTGCCTCTGTCAGTCTGATAATTCCTGTATTTGAGTTGGGGCGAGAACATACAGAAATTGCAATCCAAAAATGTTCTAAATATCAGATTTTTCTAATTCTCACAGAATCACAAACTTTGATGAGGCGTGAATACCGAATGACAATAGAGCAAGCGGCCAAAACGCAATGTTAAGAATAGTTTATACCGGAACTGATCGGATATACGCCTGGTGAGATGAAATGATCAGTAGACTTCAAGATACAAGAAGAAAATTGATAATGGGACTGTCGTGGAATCAATAGGACGGGTCAAATGGTGCTGGCTGTGGAGATGATTATTTTTGGACTTGAGTGCTTACTAAGCCTAAAGCTTGGCTTTAGTGGCTTCATTGATAGAATAGGGGTATCACGGGACTACAACGGCGACACCATCATTCATTGGAAGTGTGATTATTTCATGCTGAATTGTTCATGATTAAGTGATGCTCTAAGTCTGGATAGTTCGCCTCGGAAATTGTATAAAGATTGTTTGATTTCCTTCACCGGCAACCACTACAAATAAAATCTCTACAAAGTTCAAAACACTCACTCGCATGCGGATTCGAGATTTGGCGCCTTCATCTCACATCCAAGGCTAACAACCTCGATGAGATCATACACATCTTCCATAATACTCCAATACTCTTTTCAAGCCCATTCCACCCCAATCTTAGCACCATTTCCACTCTCTACACTCAATTTGATCTCCTCTATCCACTCCTCAACTTCATCTCTACACTCCACCCCTTTCCACTCCTACACTTATCTCGCAAGTACATATGCCATCTCCGTTAAACCTAGATTTCTTCTCGCACATATTCTGGTTCTCCCTCCAAGTGGTAAATAATTCCATCGTGGTCTCAAATGTCCCCAGCGTTCTGGTCTGAACGCTTCGGGGTCTGGTTGATAACAGGGTGCCAGACGATGGAATACCTAAGTAATGGGTGTAATGAGGGTACCGGTTTTGACGAGAATCGGGGAGATTCCTTAATGGCCGCCACCGCGAGGGAGAATGGTGTCGCGGACAGCGCCACGGGTCATGGTTGGAGCTATGGGGGTGAGACGGAGGGCTGTTATTTATTGTCAATATTGAGATCATTCACTTCGCTTCCATGCCAGAAACAAAGAAAAAGCGACTGAAGTATGAGGGGAAAGCCTACTCTCATTGACAAACCATTGTAAATATCTCATCCCTTTCAAACTCTCAAATGTTAATCCTTCGTCCTTCTCCCTGTGTTCCAATACCTCTCTCCTCAATTTCTCCCAGACCTCCTGATTTCTACATAACCAAAAGATTGCATTCCCAACCCCAATAGCTGTAGCTTCATGACCTGCCAAGAATACATGCAAAGTTTGATTTCGGAGTTCCCGACGATCATCTGTTTCCTTGGCTATTTCGTGAAGGAGAAAACATCGACGCTTTTCATCATCTTCATCTTCTTTGTCGCCCGAAATCGATGGATCTAGACTTTTGCGTGATTTCTTGAGGTAAGATATTCGCGTCGAAGTTCAAGTGTCTTATCAATATGTGCATCGACGAATTCATGAACGGCGCGTCTTTCTTTTCTATCCCAACAGTCTTGGTATAAGAATGACAAGGTACGGTGCTGAGATCGAATACTGATGCCTCGTTGAGCATGATGGAAGGCGTCGAGAAATTCATGGGATTCAGAAGCTTCATCGGAAGATTCATCTAAAGCGTTGACAGATTCGCCAAAGATGAACTCAGTGGATGTGTCGAGAAAATGTTGATGCCGGGTTAAAAGATCAATTCATGATGATGGGCATGATATAGATAGGAGTTCGACTTACTAGATCATCAAGCAAGGGACTTAAGTTCACGGTTCTTCCATCTCTCGAAACGAGCTTTAGGAGATGTAATCCAAATACAGGAAAATTGGCTGCATTTGCCCTGGTAAAGATAGGTCGTATCACGGCTCGGGAACGTTCCCAAAACGGCCCATCAGTACTAAAAAAAAACGCCATCTCCTAGAAGGGGAAAGGAGCATTCATCTTTAGACGATGAACTCCATAATCTTTGAAGTTTTTACTAAAATGTGTTTGAAGAACTTGAGGGTCGATAGTAAAGATGATTTTTTCCCCGAAATACTTCTCAGTGTATGTGCTTCCGAGTTCCTTGTGATGATTCATGACAAATCCGAGATGTGTATGACTTTGTATATTCTTTATTTTGTCAAGGAAAAGGTCCACGCCGATGGGATATTCAGAAAATCTCTTGGGGTGCTCTACGCAATCATGATCATATTCCTTCATGAATCGCTTGTGTCTTGTTCTGAGTCTTGCGGCAGCAACCAGATAGCAGACCAAAAGTATAACCAAGAAGTCTTCACCACAATCTGAGGACACTTCTATTCAGATTCGACTGGAGCGCCAGTTCGAGTTATGGATAGAAAATCAACACGGAAGTATCATTATATGCGAAGTAACTACTACAAGTGAAGGCAAAAGGTACTGAAATTTGGGGCTAGATTCTTTTCGGCATGGTAGCTTTTCTTCTTACATCATGATTCTGCATGCTGGTGGCAGATTATCATCCGTTAGAGTGATTCCAAGTGCTATTGGTGAAATACTGGACAACTAACACAGCCAGCAACAATGTTACCATATCCAATCGAACTGTTAGATCGATGTCCCTACTGATGTTGGTTCGAATCTTCACGGTAGCTTACATTCCGACAATCCTGGTCAATTTCTTCTGCCGTCGCTCGCTTTGATAAGAAAGAAAGTCCCTCGAATTAGTAGCAGGAGTACGTGTTTCTTTTTTTTTGTCCGATCCATTGATAATCTGCGAAAGATACTCCTGAAGTGTGAATCACTTGCAGCACCGGGAGACATCTACCTTACCAGCTTGCTGTGATACCTGCTAAATTGAAATACTTTTGAATGGCTTCTAGACACGATTGTGATCTTACAAGTAGTCGAGATTTTCGCCAAACTGCCATTCCGAAGATTTCCCATATCAGTAATCTGGATGATATTTGGTTCAAATTCACACCATTCACTCTCAGGACGCCTCAGTCCAGTCTGAATACTCAAGGAGTCATGAGGAATTATGTTTGACGAAAGATCCGGAACCCCTGGATCGAAGCAGATGGTTATACTGCAACCTCTATCATGCCAATACCATGACCAACTAATACTTGCCAGAACTGAATGCCAAAAAATCATGTTGCATGTCTAAAATTCCCGAATTCCGACAGAGTACAATAAACTTTCATGAACGGTCATTGTTTGTTCGGGACCGGTGAAACCTAAGGTTCATTACCATAGATTTGAAACCTCGTCCACAACTGTCATGAAACCGACCTCGCGGCTATGTGAAAAGTATAAAGAAACAGACTTTTTGTTGCATATCTTAAATCGGTATCGGTATTTCCGCCAATACCTATTTCCGCTTGTTAGATAAGTCGGGTACCCTACTTTCGGGCCACCCCTGTTTTGGGCCACTCTTTATCACTAAAAATCTCAAAAAATGGAATTTTTAACTTTCTTATTTATGGATAGAATTTATTGAAAATTTGTGTATATATAATTCAGATCGTTTTGAATCTAATCTGAAAATTTTAGATTTTTAGGATTTTTCTGTATTAAGATCTAAAGCTTTAAAATATCGATTTTTTAATTTATATGAGAATCATATACAAATTTAGAACTTTTATAAAATCTTTAATAACTTTTTAACAACAATCATCAAAAGAAAATTATATATCTTTTTGAAAGTTTTGAGCTTAAATCTATATAGAAATTCAAAAAAAACCTCAAAAAAATTAACAGATATAAAGATATAGTATACAGTGAGTTTGAAGTAGTATAAATATGTTACGCCGGTCCATCCTCGGTACCGCGTCACATGACTCTTAGCACGTGATAGACCCTGCATGACAGGCATAACGGAATGTAGGTCCATACAGACCAAAGGTCCAGGACCTCTCTAGGTCCTGAACGCTCCAGTACAGTACGAAGGTCTATATAAGGGAATGGGATTTCATTACAATGTAGAGCTTCGTGCTCAAGAACAATCATTAGTTTCATTACTATAGTTACGAGAATTGCAACCAGTTACCAACCTTATTGAATTCCTACTTGAAGTTTAGTCTAAACCACCTCGAGAGAACTCTAGACACTTCCACGTGACCCTAGAGGCAGCTCCCGTAACAAAATAATCCCTGCAATTTTGAGGGTATTCTTTTAAATATCTATTTATAGAAAATTTTCTTTTTTTTCTGAATCCTTCAAAATAAACATACTATAAATTTATAATAAAATTTTATAGTTTATTTTTAATAATTTTTATTAAAAAGTTATTAAAGATTTTATAAAAGTTTCAAATTTGTATGTGATTCTCATACAAATTTAAAAATCGATATTTTGAAGCTCTAGATCTCAATATAGAAAATTCCTAAAATTCTGAAATTTTCAAGCTAAACTAAAAATGATCTAAATTATATATAAATAAATTTTCAATAAATTTTATTCATAAATAAGAAAGTTAAAAATTCCATTTTTGGTGTAAAAAGTGGCCCAAAAGGGGGGTGGCCCGAAAGTAGGGTACCCGACTTACGATTTAGATTGCACTCGTAGATACCGCCACGAGCCAAGAAGTGGACGGAATGGAGATATAATGATGTTGTAGCTTCAATGATGGGTACATATGATAGGGATGTAAAAGCTGTCTTATTATTACTCAGAGAACTGCGCTATTATGGGTCTCGGTTATGTAAGCTACGCTACCCTGTAGTGTGCTGTTACATTCAATGACAGTCGGCATTGGGAAACTATTAGATCTCTCCTTAAGAGAATTGAAGAATCAACCTATTCCGCAAGGAAAGTTCTACATTCCGGTGAGCTTTCCCGGAAAATTATTGAGTAAAAATCCGATATCATGTCTAAAATAGCATCATGTCTAAAATTCCGTATCAACGGAATTCAACAAACAAAAAGTTGTTTCATCCTTCAACCTTATAATCTCAACTGTGATTATACCCACCAGCCAAGAAACAAATCCCACCTATGGAGAACATTCAAGATCTTTTGTTGCAAGTCTAGGGAATTTCGAATTCCGTGAATATCTGCCGAGACACCTTCATGCGATGAATTAGGATCTTTGTTGTCAAGAATCAGGCGAGATATCACCAGATAATGTTTCTTAGTTAGCTGTTAACGGAAACGCCGTAGATAATACTCGGATGTACATTGTGGCGGTTCTAGCTATTCGTACCCACATACTGCACTTCTGAAACTCCTTCCGCTCAGAAACCAATTTGTTGCATGTCGTAAAACCGCCACATTCCGCAGCATCTGTGTTAGATTCTGGAATAAATGGTTAGGAAGGTGCTAATGTATGAATAGTCCGTATGTGTTGGTGGAATTGTTTGATGGACGGAATCTCGGGGAATCAAGAGGAGGAGATCTAGACCTAAAAGACGGAAAGCGGCCCTGTGAGATCCGCCATCAGACACTTTTGTTGCACGTCGTAAAATACGATATTCCGAAACCGATAGCGATAGCGATATTTCCGCAGATTGATTCAGTGAGGAAGAGGAACGATACAGACGAAGGCGGTTAGTATCCGGGAAAAGTGTGTAGAGAGAAACTGTCTAACAATCGTTTCGGCGTCTGTTTATTAGCGATCTACTCTGGTGACATGATCTACTCATTAATCCTCGAGGTTTCATTCCACTGAACTCACACCTCAGCAAGAATATTACTGTATCTAGCTCTAGGCACAGGTACAACTAATTGGAAAATCTAGCGCTATTAAGATTCTACCGAATAAAGCCCGTAGGAAGAACAAACCTAAGCCTGTCACCACCCGGAAGGAAATGTCTTTTACTTTCATCTCTCCGTAGCATTTGTTCAGAGTTACGTATATCACGCCCCGTTCAGAAGAGAGTGATACGTATATTAGATGTTTTCAATGGAATTGGCGATTTGACAAACATCAAAATCGCCGGGCTGTTATAGCATCGTAGACAAGCTAATTGCTTAAGCGGAGCGGTAGCTAACACATTCATCGTATTTCGTATCTTCAATGTTCCGCACTCCGTCGAAAATCGAGGGTGAAGATTATGACTGTGGAGTTATAGCATTGATAATTAATTGTATGTCACTGCTTCATCCGAATCTACCAGGTAGCATCTAGTACAAACTGTTGTCACTTTCCGAAATCCAACTCATTCAGCTCGCAGAACTTGCAAACGGAAGATTCATTCCGTTGGTGGATACAGCTTATAATTCTAATTGAGATCATGGCGATTCAAAAGTGCTTGTCATCCTTTTGTTGCATATCTTTAAAGATCCGAATATCCGAATATCAGGAGGTTGAGACATCAAGATCTCTCACGATACTAATTGAGGTTGTTGTTGTTGTTGTTGAGCCAAGTAGCATTACACTAACTGACTCTGAAGCTCCGAAACCCCTTCATTTGGTCTCGCCAATCCAATCACCAGATTTATCACCAACACAACAAATCATCTCATCCACAATGTAAACACCGAAAACAATCTCTAATGTTGCACATCTGAATATCGCCGAATTCCAAATCTTCGGCGAAGAGTCCAGTCTCCAATTCGTTACCTCCGAACACAGCAAAATAAATTCGCTACATCCGAAACTTCGGCGCTCTTGATCATTCCAATTGCACGTAAAACAACATCGTGATATTACCCCGAATTACATATTCGATCATTATGATTGGAGGCCATAGATTCATGATTCTTTTGTTGCATGTCTACTATATCCGAATTGGACCGGTCGCCGACTTCTGATTGTTCGAGATGAATAACTGGCAATTTGTAACTGTTGGGTTGAGTTGTTGTGGTGTGGTGTGGTGCCAGCAGCTCACCTCCTCCGCGCAGTGCTGATTTACTAGCCTAAATTGGCTGGCACGCACTTACATTGTAGGAAATGAGCAACGACCGAACTTCCGTCCATATTTAACTGACTCAGTAATGTCGGCAATCACTTCTTCGCATATCATGCCATGGAATTAACAATCACCATCCAACTCCGCCAACACAACTGATGCCAAAGCCAAGTTCAGCATGTTAAACCAATCATCTAATGCTCTTGAACATTTGTTGCATGTCTATCTAAACTCCGAGATCCGTTCTTTCCATATTTTCGAACTTCATATAATGATTTTATTACAATAGTTATTTCCTTGGTGTTGCTAAAGCTAACCCAATCTAACCCTCCTTTGTCAAACATGGTGACATCCAAATCTCTCTAACCATAAGACCGACTCGGAGCTCGCTTGATTGATCCTCCGCCGCTCTTCAATTGACCTCCGAATATCCTAACAACGAAGCAACCTTATTTCCTTCTCATTTCTCTGAATCATTGGACGCCATGCCTTTCCAAAATCTTCAAAACCATCTGTTGCACATCTACACAAACTCCGAGCCGGCGGATAATAGCTTCCTTCCTCTTTGCATAAGTTTTTCACTCAAATATTACGTGATTCGGAGACAAGTCTCAAGAATTCGGCGATACAACATGACTTCGGAGACCGAACATTGGCGCTCCTTCCCCTCTTTTGGACATCCAACAGACCAACTATTGGTATTTCCGAAGTATATCATGAGACATCGGGCATTGTGTTGGAAATCTACTAATTCGGCATGGTGAGGAGGGGAGAAAAGGGTTTTGTTGCATGTCTTTGTAAATCCGAAGCAATAAGATTCGGAGTTGAGGTTGCTCCGACTACATGAGACTGGCTAGGACAATTCCGATGTTGGTTTGGAGAGTTGTTGAACAACTACGGAGTAAAGTCCGATCTCCATAATATGTATGCATGATTGGCGAGCTGAGATACCATAGCCGAGCGTGAAGATTCGGCGTCGATCAAAGAGGACATGGCCAATCGCAAAGCGGACATTACCTTTCACCCGCAGAGCCGCATGAGTTCATCTCATTATTCCCCACAACGCGTTCATTTCGTACTTCCAATAGACACAATACAACACTGCATCTATGTGTATCAAATGTTGCACATCTGAGAAGTCCCGCAGCTTCGCTGTCAGATCCGCCATATCCGCAAGGTTCCATTGGTCACCTAATGCAGATCTAAATCTCATCTGATCTCTCAGTTGTAAGACTCAGGTAGATCTTGAACTTGAATAGAATACCAAATGCGGGGCAACAGGGGTCGAGGACTTCCACGCTTCCTACTATTCCGGAATTAGCGCAATGCTCCTCGGCGTATACATAAAGAAAGCGAAACATCAATCATGTATACGAGGGGTTTTGGAGATAGAAACATCTGTTGCATATCTATAAAGTACCGAGATCCTGGATGTAGTAAACAGAGTCAGTGACTACGTCCATTAGTAGAGATGTGGAGTTTCAGCTGAGTGTTGTTCACCCTCCCGGATAACGGGTAAAAGTGCGGGTAGATCGCCAACGGAGCAAGCAAAAGAAGCAAAACACTTTTCCCATAGCATGAAATTCTAGGCTTCTTGATATACCTACTTGGTGTAACTAGCTTGCATCATAACCCAATATTAGCCAGCACCTGGGACCGCCAAGTTTCAATACGTATATTTGGACGATTTGTTGCACATCTGACAAACTCCGAGATCTCGGATATAGGATTTTGGCCATGTTTGTCTTTATCTACGGAGTTGAAGCAAACTTCCTGGATTGCCAGACCACTCTTCTCCGTTCGAGCGGAGATTCGCAGACATATCCTCAGCGGAGGAAGAGGTGGTAAAGTCCCCCCTAACCTAGTTACTTAGAAGATCAGTTGGACAAGATGAGGATCCCTCCTTATCGAATTTTGAAATGCTCTTTCCTAGCCCGTGTTCATCTACAAATGTCTAATCAATTCTTATTATAGTTACTGGGGATACCTCTGAATCAATAGACCTCCCGTGTGTTCCTGGTGGAGTTCAAATACATGTTCTCGATCTGTCTAGGCAGATGAAGCATATACGTCCATGAAGACAAGAGAAGTACACTCAATGGATACTCCATTACATAGCTAGCCAATTTCGGGATCCGCGATGCATAGACACGATTTTATGAGCATCCGGAGTTTCCGCCCCCACCGGGCCGAAGCGACCAAGACGGAGATTATTCATTAACAGGTGCTGGTAACCCCCCGAACGTATCAAGTAAGCAAACCATAATATCATACCATCTTCAAGATCCTGGTGCCGTCATCATTTCCACGAGTGGACGGAGTATATGGCCGTGTCCGCCGGAGTGTCATGGTTTATTTGTGGAGATTCTGTGAACCCCTTTAGAAAATTGGGGAATGTTTTCCCGGCCTGCCAATCGTGAAGAGAGATAGGTCAAAAAGAGATTTTGTTGCACATCTGCTTGTCCCCGAGATCCTAGGCCTCCAGTACATTTCCATGAATAAACAGGGCTTATTCACCGAGTCCGCTGGAGACGCATGGGAAACCCGCTAGTATCACGTATTTCCCACCGGAGGAATCTCCATACCTGCCAATCATAAAGAAAAATAACATGAGAAAAGTATTTTGTTGCACATCTCAAACCATTCCCGAGACCTAACCATAAATTTCCAATCATTCTCCATAATTGAACAGCATTCAAATCCCCGAGTCCGCTTGAATAACGTGGAATATCCCCGAATACCACAGATCCCCCGACGGAGGAATCTCCGTTTCTGCCAATCATGAAATCAAACATATGGGAAAGAGCTTTTGTTGCATATCTGGATGTCACCGAACTCCTGAAGCTTTGATGTTTTCCTTAGAGCGACGGAGTATATCGCCGACTCCGCTGGCGTTGCATGGGGAATCCACGAGCATGCCAAGTCTTCCGCAGGGAAACAATGCCCGGATCTACCAATAAAGTCAGATAGATGGAGAAGTGTAATTTGTTGCATATATGCTGATCCTTTAGATCTTGCAATCTCCATCGCGTGCGTAAATGGGATATACGGAGTCCCCAGCCGATGCCGAGTGCAGACGGTGGATGCTTCATAAAGAATATTCATGCGTAAGTGATGGAATTCGGCGGATAATATCTCCGGATGTGTTGATTAGAAAGGTAAATAGATGGAAAGGAGATTTTGTTGCATATCTGATAGTGACCGAGATCTCGAGGCTGCAAATCTCGCTGAGCTGTAAAAGGCCGCAGCTTATAATAAAGCTTAATGGTGACGATTAGAATGTAATGAAACGTACTATCTCGGCGGAGAAAAGGGGATATGTCAGAATCGAGGTATATTAGATTTCCGGCTCGCCAATCAAGAGAGAATGTGGAACGGAATGGGGAGAATAAAGTAAGGATGAAAGTTTATTCTAATGTCAAACATGTGATGCCGAACTTTCATCGCTTTGTAGTCGTGGAAAGAGTTTGTGGTTACATGTTGTTCTTGCAAACCCTTCGGCAGGAATAAGAAGTATTTTACCTCTTATCATCCATGTTTCATCGTTGACCACGATGTAGCATTTTTTAAGCACATATAGAAATATATGTAGGCGTTTTATTGCACTAGGGGTTTGTGATATATGGCAGATATGGAATTGGACTGATCAGACTAGTGGAATAAACTGTTGAACGAAGAAATATTGTGAATTCTTCTATTTCTACATCTATATGACTCCTTCTATTCAATCTCTCATCTATAACCAATATAATCTATTCGTTCTCATCGTTACGTCAGTTCCATCTTCTCTAGTTCCCCAACCACTCTCTTTTAACCACTTCCAATTCCTCTTGCAACCACTTTCCCTCCCCCTTCTCCTCATCCATAATCCCATCAAAACCATGTTCCATCCCCTCATTCCAAATACCTTTCACTCTATCCTCTCCAAACTTCTTCCCATAAATCTCCACCAACTCTTTCGTATCCTCCCACGGAACAGCCGTATCCTTCGTCCCATGAAACGTCAACAAGTAAGGTCTCTTCTGCCCCTCCTTCTCATCCACATTCTCAATAACATCCTCCAACCATAATCCCTCCTCTCCATCTCTCTTGAAAATTTCCGTCCACCTTCCTCTTTGCACCATCGTAACCGCGATTTCCAATCTCGCAGGTGGGTCCGCACTAATCACTATTTTCTCACCCCCTTTGCCTATATCTGCAATGTGGTCATTCAAAAACCCCTCGTCCATCTGCGGAACCCCAAAAGGACTTTTGATCTCGCTAGCCACGGAGTACCATTCCTTTCTCAAAAGTGTCATGGGATACGCTGCAATAACTGCTTTTGGACCAGTGAACCCCTCCTTACTTCCCCAGAATTGTTCAGGCAAAAGAGAGCTGCGGATAGCCAAGTAGCCTCCGGCACTTTCACCATGAATCGCCACTTTTTCAAAATCCACGGAAAGATTACTATTCACTCCTGAAAGATAAGACGAGAGTCCGTTAACATCAGACGCAAGCCACGTCCAAAAATCCTTCACATCCTCCACAATCTCCTTTCCGCTAGCTTCAGGCAATAATCGATAATCAGGCATGATAAATAACGCCCCATTTTTCACTACGAGATCAAGGGCCCAGTTAGGAAGCCATTCTGTGTAGAGTGCTGAGCCTGTAACCAAAAACCCTCCATGAAATCTCACCAGAACCGGATACTTTCCCGGGGTTGTGGAGGTAGCGATGGATTTTGGAATGAGGATGTGTGCTGAAATTTCAACGCCTTGCACGGTCTTATATGCAGTAGTGTGCAGGCTGAAGGGGACAAGTTTGGGATCTGACATCTTTGGAGTTGGGGGTATTAGATTCTGTTTTTTGAACTTTTTCGGAGTAACGTAATGGCTGGTGGATGATGATATTGACAAGATAGAGTTTATAAAATCGGGTATACTTCGGTAAATGATTTGTGGGCTACGATGCTGATTTTAAGTCAATGTAATAAAAAGTACTACGTTCAATGCTATGATTGATAACAATAAAAAACCCCGAAACCTGATGGTGATGCCATAGATATTTATATTCTTTCGATTTAAAATCAACTTGTTTACTCATCTTCGATTTTTCAAATTTTGTTGTTCATTCCTTCGTTTTCTATGGCTATTGCCGCGGAATTATCAAGCGATGGGATACTGAGAGGGAGACGAGGGAGAACGACATAACTTTAAATCCAAAAAATTATGTAAACCTAACAAATCGAATGCTACAGTGCCATTCTTTCAAATCTTCTCATTCATATAGCAATTTTCTAGCTACGGCTGGACATATTGTCGTTACCAACCCCAAATACACATTTTTAAGTATTTTCATAAATATCCATCCCCAATTCGTTCATATTATAGAAACCCTAAGGCAATCAACGGCAAGGCCAATAACTACTTTCCGTTCGGTTAACCACTTCTGTCTGATTGACATCCATTAAAGTCATTCTTTGGACTGACGTGATGGTTTCAAGTGCATCACACTCCGGATCGGTATTCTGTAAGGTTTCAAGACAAGTTGCAAGCAAATCATCTCCTTCCCATTCAAACTTTTCATTGACTAGTATGAACTCAGAAGGTGAGACCGCCGTGCGTCGAATAACGCTTCGACCACGGATAAGTATGATACGTTCGACGGCCGGATAACACAATGTAAGCTTATAAAAAGGATTGATGGAAAGAGGACCTTCGTATGCCAATCGCTTAACTCTAAGCCAATCAAAAGAGAGAGGGGCGTGCCTACAGCTCATTCTATGGCCATTACAACGAGCACATTGTGAATATATGCCATCACGTTCCCAGTCAAAGTAAATTCTTGGTTGGGCGCGTTGTCCTTCCGTAAGTGCCTTATCCATCAGCTCATTCAAGGTCTGCTGATCCCAGAATCCCATCTCAAGGTCTCTTGCAAATGATAAGTTGTACCATTTCAAAGCTTCTTGTCTCGATTTTTGACAAGTGTGAAGCAAAGCTGGAATTGGGGCATCCGAGTAAAGTACTGCACTCCATTTGGACTCTCGAATGTTTATGTAGCGTGCTTCAGGACGGGCGAGGTTCCAAATTTGCCGTCTTAGTTTTCCGGGAAGCTCTGAGAAGTAGGGTAGCACTCGAGGAGGCGAAGAATCTTCCTCCAAATCAGGAAGACCCCACCCTACTGACATCAGTAATTATTCAAACAATTTTCAGTTGAGAGGAAAAGCTTACATTGGTCATCATCTTCAGGATCTGTCTCGGATTCTTCAGTCCCTTTAGTGTGTTCATTGTACTCGGCTTCTTGAATTCTACCGGTCTTTTGAGCTTTTTGGGGCGATGACAGGGCTGTTGCATCAGATACTACTTCTTCCAAATCGAATAGGGCCGAGCCTGGTTGAAATGTCAGAATATGTCTCTGTAGGTGGTAATAAAAGATTTCCTACTAGTTTCTTCATGATCTGCTTGGCTTCCTTCGGGTTCGTTGGGTTTTTGGGGTGATGATAAATTTATCAAGCCAAATTCCTCTTGAAGATCTAATAGACTTGACGCTAAATCGAAGGTTAGCCGTCATTCATCGTGCAAATTCTTCATGGAATTAAACCCACAGGGCTGTTGGAAACTTGCTTGAAGCTTTTCGGTTCCATGACTTCTTTTGGCAGTGGATATAGTTGCTTCTCCATCTTCTAGCAAATCCAAAAGATTCCAGTCTAGCTCAAGGTCAATGATTACTTTGCAAGTTGAATGGTAATCAGGAATTCTTACAAGTTTCATGAGATCCTGTTGTTGTTTCTTTCCATTTTTCATGTTCTCGACTGTTCTTGGAAACTTCTTGGGTTGCTCGACAGACTTTCTCAACATCCTCAATCTCTTGCTTGATTCGAGGTGCGCTTAATACTGCTGCTTCCTGCGGCTGTAAGCAGGAATCCTGCCTTTTCCTCCTATCACCACCTTGTCAGAAATCGAGAAATCGATAAAGGATAAATACTGACTGGTCTGCCATGAGATTCAAGTAGCGTTCCAACATTTGATCCTTCCCCGAATCCCTTGAAGGAATCGATAAATCCGCCATTTTGATTGAATTTGTGTCAAAGAAACCGAGTTTGTATTTGAATAAGTTGCTGTACTGAATACTGAAGTTGAAGATATCCTCCGCAAGAAATTCAAAGATGAAGGCGTGGTTGTGAACTAACTCGATTAGGCAAAACTCCATTCAGCAACGACGACCTCTTGTGGAAGGAACACTTGAGCTCTTACCGGATATAGCCGTTCAAAGCTCAAATAGATTCATTTTATAAGCAATCTTCTCCATTCTATCTTCTCTTACTTCAAGCTTTTCTCACGAAAATTATACGGCACTCATTCCCTTCACGTCCAAATACAGTCTTATTACTCTTGCAACTTTGTATTCTTTGCCATCAACCTTCGCTTTCAATTCTTATTTCTCGAACCCAAAGAATCACTTGGTCCTGGTGGAGCATGAAGACTATTGCTAGGTCCCACGTTCTCACACTAGTCTGGCACTGTTTGATGCTGAGACTTCTCATGCTTTGAGGAATACGCCTTGAGCCTTGAGATACTGCAGCTTCTGAACTGGAAGTCGTGTTCAAAAAGCACTAGAAGTCGATATACTGGCAGTTCCAGTAATCTGTCTTGTTGGCATGAAATCGTCGCCTGGTATCTTCTTCTTGATCCTGCCATCTTTGACGATTAAATATTTTTAAAATCAGTACTCATTTATGCTATCTTTCATGTCTGGTCATGCAATTAGAGTCAATAACTAAAAATAATGCTCCTAAATAGCATGGTTGATCTGCCGCTGATTCGTAGGATCAGTAGAGATTTGATCTTTTACCTTGCGCGTTTCAGAAAGTAACTTAGACTTGACCATCTGCTCAAAATTATGATCGCTACATGCTCCTCTGTACGACACTTCAATATTGACAGCATAGTGTCGTGAAGCCTCCAAGACAGACACTTCTTCCTCGTTTATAGCCCGATATTTGATGCGTATTTCTTCGATTGTAAGAGGATCCAATGTATGTTCATTGATAAGTAAAGAGATCTCACAAGGAATGTATCTGCTTACATAGAAGAGGCTGGCACCGCAAATTTGTCCAGCTATATATGACATACCAATGACTCCTGCGGTACATTGCTCAACTCCACTCCCATTTGCCAAATATCACCAAAGAAACTTAGTTGCTTTAGCTTATTGTTACTTTGACATTAAGATGAGTTAACAAGGCGAGCAGAATAGCCCAGGTTGATGGAAGTGAAATTTGCAATGGCAAATACCTTGCAAACACCATTTCATGAAGTCGAATACGAACATTTTTTGTTCTGTTTGTAACCATCATTAAAACAACCGCCAATTTCTTGTATGGCCCTTGGGTTCTACAATAACTAGCCTCTGCAATACTCGGAGGATAGAATCTATGTATTAAAGATGAACTGATGGGTTCGAGATAGATTCTATTTACGTTTCTAGTCAGACTAGGCTAGAATCTAATTAGCACAAGAGTAAAACGATTGTGATCTTGAAAGCATGAGAGTAACTTTACGTCCATTTAATCGATTTTCCAACCCTTCTTTCTCCTTTTTCAGTCCAGCAGTGCTATAATTGATAATATCGTCTTTGTTGTTATGCTCGGTATCCATCCTCCCCGCTTCACTCTTTGAAGTCTTGTCTTACTATCTATTTTCGAAAGATTGCGAGTTTTGGGATTATCTATCGTCCATCCATGTATTCAGAGATGTATTGCGGGGTAATTACCTCGATTTATTGATGGTTCTTCGTTGGCATATTCCACTTTTCAAATCCAACTTTCGAGGCTGACCGATCTTCTTTTTATATATTAAACCTGAGTAGCTAGTTGTTAATGTCTTGTCTAATGTCTTGTTCTTGATGTTGGGCTTGATTGACCAGTTCTGGTGGTAACATAGAGCTTGTCGTCTGTTACAGCTGGCTGAGACAGAACTAGTTCATGCCAATTGGTACACATCCAAGCCTACCTAATCTTAGCTCTGTTCTTACTAGACTACTTCATCCCGTGATTGAGATATTTTTCCGGATACTGAATACCATTTCACGTGATCAGCTAACTATGCTTGAAGACCTCTATCAATGATGACTCTTAGCAATACTTCTGCCACTTTACATCTTTGGTAGCTAGCAATCCACAGCAGTCTTGATGTCTTGAAATTATATCATAAAACTGTCCTAAATTACCACACCAATCTACCCATCATTCGCTCAAACCCCTCCCAAAATAACGAGTACGTTCGTGAACAAGCCAATTAAACGTTCTCCGCACTCTCAATCATAGCCTCCAATTGCTCTTGAACGGCCTCCAATCGCTGTCTAACATACTCCCTCATTCTTTCTAATTCAATTTCCAATTCATCAATCTCCTCTCTCATTCTGTTTGCCTTGTCCTTGCAATATTGACGAATTTGGTCTGCAAATCCCTTGCGTTGCTTGTATTCGAAATCCAGATATCCACGCTTCTATTAAAGCACCTAGTTAGCACAGCTTCAGCACATATACCCTTTGTTCCCGCCACCATGGACTCCAAAGTCTCACACGTTCCCTCATATGCTGCACAGTATGCTTACCTTCTTCTCATGCGCCGCAGTCATCAATCTCTCCCATTCAGCCTCTCCCTCATTCCTCAATCTCTTCTCCTCTCTCTCCAGCTTCTCTATCCTGGCCTTCCAGATATTCAGCACCTCAAACTCAGAAAGAATTATCCTTCTCTCAACCAATCTGAGCTCCCGTGCGCGTGGACCGTCGCCGGCGATCTGAAATCTACCATGGCAATCTTCATTCGCCTCGGCATTATTATAATCGAGGACTGGATTGAAACTTCTTAGTATGCTTGATTTCCTTCAATTCGTTGGAATTCTCGAAAATGAGAAGGTACTTACAATAATAAACCCAGACGTTCCACTCGATACACTGCTGCATATCCCGGACTGCGGTCTTCCACTCCACCTGCTTGGCACGGCAGCGCTCTACTGTGGCATCGAATTCCCCCTCTGTGCAGACACCACGGTAGGAAAGTTTATCTTCAACGACAAATTGCTTGATGTCATTGAGTACAGATATGTACCCCAGATCGGCCATTGTATTGTTGTGTGTTGTTGTTATTGAACTTCTTTTGTGGGGAAGAAAGCTTTGTTGATGGAGGGAGAAAAAAGTAGGATTGGAATGAGAAAGGAATTGAATTTAAGAAGGTTGAAAAGTCTGTGAGTTATCCGGATTCAGGATTCAGGCTTCGAGGCAGGAACTTTTGGAGTTGTGAACGACACCATGATGGGATGGGTATGCATGGGAGAGGGGTTGGGGCTTACATGTGAGGATGTGTCTAGATGTTTGTTTATTTGGTTTGAATGTAGGTGTTAGTTTGTGAACGGGACTCAGTGACGTGTATTAATTATGGTTATCGATGTTAAGGAGTTCCGATATGGATGCTTTTGTTGACTATTTCAACTATTCCAGCTACTAAAACTTCATTTAGGATTAGTTGGATACAAACAATGACTATATCAAAGACTTCAACTATGCATGAGTTCTTTAAGTCTCCAAGAATGAATAACTAGTCCTTTAGGAAGTTCATCACATCAACTAAACAAGACCATTTGCACTGTCCAAACCGAAAATACTTGAAAATTAACTTTCTTTCCATCACTACGAACCACAGTAACCCTATCTTTTCATCAAGAGTATGGAATATAAAGGATCTTCCTAACACACTCAAAAGATAACTTTCTCCTTCTCATTAGTTGAAATATCGGTTAAGCAACATTCGCTAGTGCAACCGAACATGGAGATATAGAACCAAGTCAACTATTTCTCGGCAACTGTGTACATAGATCAATTGCGTGCAGTATGATGTATTGAAGAATAGAGAGATTATCATTCCCAAAAATTGAGCAACTTTCCCGGCTAGATTCTGCAATAGACATTGTGCATGAAGGTATGATGTAGAGTGCTGACGTGATGTTCATCTAGGTTTCCTGAGGTGAGCTACTTGTCAAAGACGGTAGGCTATAGTGTTGACAGGTTTCCCTACTCTTCTCATCGAAGTGACCGACCAGTGCTGGAGATCTAGCATCATACAGAAGGCCCAAATCAAGATGCTGTTAAGGTTCTAGATTCTACACGGCTTGTGTACTGGAACAATGATAGGACTGGACTGACACAAAGTGATGCTCTGACTGCCACTGATAATTTTGAAACAAAAAGCACGAAGTTGAGCACGCGAGAAAAGTTAAATGGTTGGATAGACCTATATAAAGCAGGGTATCAATAATCCTCATCTCCGTATCCCGAGGAATGATACTCGAATTCCGAAGGTAATGGAGCATCCCCTTCGAGATCATCATCTACATTTCTACTCGCAAGCGGCTTCTGCGTCTCTACTTCTGGTACAACACGTGGACTCGCGATCGGCTGCTTTTGTGCAGACATTGGTAGTCTGCCCAAGACCTTGGTCATCCAAGCTGCCCATTCCCACGGTCTATCTCTATCCCCTGGCAACGAATTGAAATATTCCCAACCCATCACACCCCCAAATGTAGGATACCTCAACTTCAGATTGAGAAGGACTTCTTGCAAAGTCTCAAAAGGTACCCATCCACTACCATTTCCTGGGTTGGTAACCATACCCACCACTATTTTATGTGCAGGCCATCCCCTCATCATCATCATATCATATCCAGCTGTCTTACTCATATCCCCCCACCCACAATAAAATTGGGTATTGTACCAGCCAATACTACTTCCTCTCATGACCTCCAGCGCTTCATAGTTGAATCCACTCAGATTGTGTTTTGGAAGCTCGGATACCAATGCCGCAGCCACGGGCGCCAGTGTAATGATGAATCCAGCTCCAAAATCTGCCTTAAGTCTATCAATTAATCGGATTATTCCTACAAGAGTCATTTCTTCTTCAACGTCGAGGTCTAAACCATCGAGACCCCGTTCGCGGATAAGATTTCGTAAAGGAATGTAATAGAGTTCGAATGTGGCATCGTCTTGATCGAGTCGAGTGAATGAACCCTTTGCTGCCCCGCCAAGCATTCCCATTACTTTTATTCCAGAGGCTTGGAGGATTCGAAGTTCCGCCCACATGGTAACGAATCGTTCATGGTGAGGTACATGATCGTTCTGCCTTTTTGTTAATACTTGCACACAACAATCAAAAGGAGATGTGGCAGATGTACCAGAGATATATTTCCTGGGGGATCATTGAGATGAATCGCGGCGACATTGACATGTGTCACCGCGATGTTTGGTTTGGTTATGATAGGTAATAATGAACATAATTTGCCATCGGGATGATGTTGCGTCTGATAATATATGACGATTCTAGGAGTTGTAGGAATTGGAAGGGGAGGCATTGGAGAAGAGTCGTTGTTGTTTGATTTGTTGGTGAGGTTGATGGTGGTCAGGGTCCTAGAATTAGTGTAGGGCTAGTCTGGTGGGGCATGAAGCTTATCCTGCCTCCCTGCTCGGATTTTGACGTCGCTCCATGAACACAACGTTACTATTGCCCAAGTGTTCACGATGGCATCGCCGTATGTACATCCTTACGTGGTCTTGAGTGAAAAGACAGATGCAAGGTCAACTTGTCGAGCTCAACTTAAAGACACGACGGCGAGAACGATTCCGTTGTGGTGAAAATATCCCTCCAGCTCAATTTCATCCCACGATGGTTCGTGATACTCATACAGATGAGGCTGCGAGTCTTTTAGGTGTGCATTTAATCATTATGATTCTATGATAATACCACGTCAGAGATTCGCCGGTTTAGAAATGGTCATAGCATTCCGGATGTTACTGGGCAGTGCGAATAAATGACAAGTGCTGCGGCTTCTTCGCACGACACGTTCATCAACAGAATTATCACAGAACTTGGAAGGGCATTACAACAGTAATGCTTCCCGCAACACACTAATCCTGCAAAGTAACATTATCTACATCTCAGAAACTGTCGATCATGGGCTATCCTATGTCTCTACATTACGTCCATTAGCGCTCAAACGGCCGCTTTTCGTATACCGAAGCATAGAAAGGCTCCGGGTTCCACGAATTACTTTCGAAGAAATTGAATGGCCATGCATCACGGCAAGCTACCTTTGTCATAGGAATCTCTCGCCACATGTGGTGCCAATGCTAAGCCAGGGAAATAGCCTTGCTCTGCGCCTCGTTTTGTCTGCCTGCTTCGTAAGTGAGCTTTTGTGACTTCCTACGGTCACTAGTTTTCTTTGGGCTTGTAATCTGACTTTTGTAATATTGTGTTCTCTATTTCATATATTACTCCAGCCTCAGAAACCACATTTGTTTTCTCCAAGACTTGTCGACTTCCCTTCGTCGATGATTGAGGATTCCACGTACTGAAATCTTCTCTTTTGACATATTTATGTTACGGTATCGAAATGTCGGACCCATTCTCCGCGGCCAGTGGTGCAGTTGGAATAATTTCCCTCGGCATTCAAGTCTCTCAAGGCTTGGTCAAGTACTGCTCTCAAGTCAAGAATTTCACGTCGGAGATAGCTACATTCAAAGTTAAAGCAGAAAGCATTCACGGAATTCTACAAAACCTCGAGAGTGTGGTGAGAAAGACCAAAAAGGAACAGAAAATGATACCTAGATCTGTTGTTCTTACGCTACACAGCTGTCAAGAAACATTGGAGAAGCTGAATGAAGGGATTGGCAGACATGGAAAGGATAGACTTTCGAACAGACTTACATATTGTTTTATGCGGAATGACTTAGCAGCCGCTTGCCATATGTTGGATAGCTTACAGCATAATTTGAGCAATGCTCTTCAAGTTTGGATATTGTATGTACACATGTCAAGACGCTCTAGATGGTATGACACTGAAAGTAAAACAGGGAAGACAGTACTCGCCATCAAGCAGATATAACCCAAATGATTACGGACCAAACTGTCACTCACTTTCATACCTCACGAAAACTCGAAGGCTGCTTTGAAGATTTATCTAAGAAAATAGATATTATAGTAAAGTTGCATACATCAAGACCCATGACTACATTACTAAGTTGACATAGATATCAAATAAACAGCAGCCTCTTCTAGAAAGCCCTTCTTTACTGGCACAAAGATGTTTAGAGCTCAACGCCGCCAAGGCTGAATCCAGCTTGTTACTACTGAAATACAAACATACCTTTCGACTTCGTTCCCCTCGTCCAGGTCCTTGCCAATGTCCAGCATCTCCGAGCTGTTATACTTGTCCTACGTGTAAGGGTTGGCAAACAATCCGAAAGAAGTACAATGTTTGCAAAAAATTGCTAGGATACTCGATAGCATTCACTATGTTTCTCACAGGTGGTGCCGGTGGCTTTTCAATTGGCCCATTGCTGGGCTTTAGTGCCACGGCACCTACTTCATCACCTGCTTTCCGTTTATTATATGCCACTAAATACATGCATCCCAATCGGCACCCCTTTCAGAGGTCTTTGGATGGTAAGAGATGGGTGTACCCGGAAAATGATACCCTACGGATGCACCCCGAGTTTGATAGCTCAGGTGGATCACATTGGGACTCGAGTAGCCACGCCGTCAAATATGATGAATCTGATAAAGCTCTGGAACAGATCGAAGAGCTTGTCAATTAAATTTTGAATGAGTTGCATATATTGTTTCGAAACGGGAAAGCGTCGCCCAATGATTTAAACGAATCTGGCAAGTCGCTATCAGAGGTACGTATTAAAAGGACATTTTACAAAAAAAATTGTCTAACTCATCTAAATGATTATACTTTGTTTGTCGTTGGCTTATTTTTGCCTTTGACAACGAGCTAATCAAATTGTCAAAAACACGCAGCTACTCTAAGAAACAGAGAATAGCTAAGTGCCAGCATGCGATCAGAATACTTCGCACATTTGTTAAACATGCCAATTCCATCGGCTTGAATACATCGTAGGTCTATTCTTCAATTCCATTGGGCGTGATTACGGTGAATCGTGCTTCATTATGAAAATGCACATAATTTCTGGTGATAACGTTTGCAGGAACATCTTGGACTTTCTTATGAAAACTCGTGTTTCGTTGCCTAAAGATGTCGATGAAGGAGGGTTTACGAGACTCCAGGAGAGAATTGGCGACCTCGGCGCCATAATAAAGCATACACCACAATACACTTGGAAGACGGAAATTGTTGAGATTTTTATACGCGAGACACAGCGTATCGATGGTACATTTTGTTCACCCTTTATTTCAGACTTAGCTAATTGCGAGCTCAGTGATTGACATGCCGATAATACTCGAATCGATTTTCCTACGATCTGAGAAAGGCTTGGAACATATACTCTCTCAAGATCCCTCGGTGGTCAATGAAGTTCTTTAAGAGGGTGGAGAAACTCCATTACATCTCGCACATCAATGGCCGCAAGGATTAAGGATTCTTATTCGCGCAGGGGGTAACGTGAATCAATGCAATAATTGCGGTGAACTGCCACTTACATTAGCAGCGGATAGATATTGCTATTTATCAATAAAGATTCTCCTTCAAAATGGGAGCATGCTCCGCACTTGCTCCCTGCAATCTTCGAGGAACTTGGGCGATGGTGGAAGTGATTTTTTGAGATGCATCGGAAATTGGAGGGACTCATGGAGATCGACAATATTTGAACATCTAATTCAAAGAAGACACGCGTTACTCGAGCTGGCCCGATCTTTGATGATCGCTTCTCCCACAAGCATTTCTGGATGGCTCAAAACAGACAGCGTTCTGGATGCTCAGGCTGCTGATGTGGTAAAGGAACTCAAGAGCCATGGGGTATATATAGACCCAATACTCCTTCCTACATCTCACCCAAAGACCACAATAGTTTATCACATGAGAAATCTCACTCCAGGGTTAGCAGAAGCTCTTTATCAAGCTGGCTTCCTTGATATAAATGCGCGTGATCATAAAGGCTGGTTGCCTATTCTGGCACAAACAAATTTTAAGAAGTATGAAGATTTTCGCAAAACGTTCCATTAGACCTTCTAGAAGTCGATGTCATCGACTCATGTATCTGTGCTTGCTCAACGAGTGGCTGTCTACCGATCACATGCTTCTTGGGTAATCTGCAGGTTGAGTTCAGCACTGGGAACCCTGAAGACCTTTGCGGAAGTTGGGAGGTATTAGGCGACGACCCATGGGTAACGTGGCGCTTCGAGCTAATGGTGAGAATATTCGCAAAAATGCTAGAGTCGAAGTTAAGCACATGTCCTTGGCTAGTCCGTAACATTATTCGACAATGTACTTTCTACAAGCTGGGACTTACGCACACGTGTAAGTGTAGTCAAAGAATTTGTCCACCTGCAAGCTCGTTTACGAAAGATGAAGTATGCAATATCATGGAAGAGGAGCGAGACATGATAGAGCAGCTTGAGAGCGTGACAGCTGAGTTGGAGAAGAATTTTGCAAATTCGGGGAAGCCACTACATGCGTTTTTAAAAGACGATTGGAAGCCAATGATGGAGGAGATCATGTCCGAGAGTACATCAGATGAAAACTATATAAAGGGGGTTCGAGAACTTGGTGTGATCATGCGATGATTGCTCAAAAATTTTCAAGTTGAAACTGAGTAGGGAAACCATCTCAGTAATACATTACATGCATCTAACATGACATCTTAAGCTTCTTTGACACTATCCATCGTTTCGGTGGGGCGTGTACACGGAGAGTTCTGATATGGAGCAAAGGAGCACCAAGTTTCTTTTTTTGATTTGTCGATGAATTCATACTTGCGTGGGTTGAGATCACCAATGTTTCCTTCAAAATCAGGATGATCTTGTGTTTTTAATTTCTTATTTTCGTGTCATGTCAGTTATCCTTAAGCTATCGTTATTCTCTGCAGAACTTGTCATCCATCGACTATTTGCACATATGTTTGAAGTTTATATAGTATTCATGGGATTGACCGATTACGACTCTGAATATGAAAAGTTCAAATCTCTGGAAATTCTGTGTTTAGCAATATGATTTCTGTGATGTCTTCCCAGTACCAAATTTCTTGTGAATTTGAGTTTATTCTCTAAAGTGGTGGGTACAAGGTGTCTAAGGCGTCCTTTGATATGGAAGCAACTTTATTTTCCAGCATTCCCAATCTTTCATTTGTCCCAATTGTACAGCAAAAAAAATTGGTGATATCACGAGGAGCAGAAATGCTGTTCTAGGCTCGAACTATCTCAATTAAGCGAGGGTCGGGTGTTTTGACAAGATACCAGATCATAATTTGAATCTCTATGGCAGACTTTTTGGAATAATGAAATCCTTCTAGAGCAATTGGTTCCGAAATGATATCAAGTTGTTCTGGGGATCTGGTACCATCATTTCGTTTATGGGGTGTATATGTGCTATGTGCTATTTCTTTGCGAACTGATTTGTTGATTTTTGTGCTGTACTAGCTTGGTGGGCCTTGTTAGTGGCTGAAGACCATATTTTATACATCCTGGGAACTGAGTGACTACTTAGGGGTAATAAGTGTCTAGTATAGTATCAGTAATATGTATCAAGGAAACTTGATACATCTTCAAACTTGTAGAATAGATCTTTGTATTATTGATGAGGTTAAAAGGTAATAACTGACTTCATTGTTTGAATGGGATTTGCTTAAATAAAAGAATGTCTTCCTTGACACTCAAGATATCGAGTGTGGGAGTCACTGGGTCTAAAACTGACTCCAGTTTATAGCATCTGTTCATCAATGTACCTGAAGAATGGTTGCTAGTCTCCCAGCTCTGAAAAGAACTTCAAATAATGGAGTCAATTATTGTGTTGCTCGACCTTGAATAAAGTATAGTATATTGATAATTCTTCAATCAAGATCAACTAGATTCGGCAGTATAAGATCTCTAATCAATGCGGCAAATCTGAAATAGAGGAAAAAGCAAACAAATCAACATTGATCGCACATAAAAACTGAGTAGCTCTCACTAGGAAGGCTTTCGCCTTAGAAATATGTTGAGATCCCTTTCCCTATCGAAAGAAAAAGAATGCTCTCTAGAGATAGAGCAATCTATATGATTCTCCTCACAATTCTGTCGAACTTGACTTTCAACTGGCTCGAAGCCTTTGTTTACTCTATGAAGAGAAGAGCAATCAATCGTATGATCTTGATTTTTAGTTTTCGAATTCACTTATTTAAGTGATCCCAGTCAATACGGCAATGAGTTATTGGGAAACTCTTATCGTACAGCAGGAGATTTATCGGATCTCAAATCTTAGCCGTAGAAATATCTAATCCGCTAGTGGTACAGCATTTTTTTACTACAATTATTGAAAGTTTCCAGCTTTAAAGGCTATTTATTAACTTCTCTACTCATCAAATATCTTCCTTCATCTCGAACATACTCTTATACTCTATTGAGAAAGTATTCAAGCACTTCTTCCAAATCCAGAGAATTCTTACCACAATCTTCAACACAGCTCATCAATCATGGAACATTATCCATTTTACCAATCAATTGGTCGTCATCTGCAACATATGATTGTTGTCGAGTCCCGATCATATCGCGGAAAAATCAGTAATGAGGAGTTTTTGGCGGTTGCTGCTTATTGGAGCGAAATGATTCAAAACAATGACTATCATCGAGCTCTTGCTCGTCCCGACTTTGATCTTTACAACATTGACTTCAAGATCTGGGAACACTTTTGTAAGTTTTAATCCATCGCCTCTATCTAAGGAATCAGGATCTAACAAGCTATCACAGTCGCCATGAACACCACAGAGAATTGGGTATCTTTCCCATGTGTCGATCCTCGTGGACCACTCGACATGCCCGACATAAATCCGTTCCCAGTCACTCACTATACTCCTCGACCAGTCGACCGTGTACCTATTGCGCCAGCCCAACACAAGACAGCTCCTAATGTCGGTGCTTCTACTCAAACTCCAGTCTCATCGGCTAGAGAAAAGGTTCCTACATATCACCACGGCCTATCCGCTAATGAGATGGAGTTATTAGCACGAAGAGAGGTCAATGAACGTTTGAGACGGGGAGTCAAAGGCCGCTCTGCCAAACAACCGCGATTTCAGTAAGGAACGTCTAGATGCTGGTCTGAATCACGTTCGATGTGATACTGACACTGACTGTCGCTTTTACTCTCTGTCTTTTTTTCGGATGGGTTGTACAAGTTGTTATTAGTGTCGATACAGTACTAGATATACAAAGGAGCTATAACCGCAAGGATTTCAGATATTGAGGCTTTGGGGGACTATGGGAATATGGGATTTGTTATGGTGGATTTGTTATGATGGATTCCAGAGGAGTAATGTCAACTCGGCAGGCATTTCTCCACATGATCCATTCTCTATAGGCTACAGCAATTGACGAAGTTAGCACATTCATTAAATGTGATTTTGTGTTCTTTTCCTACATTTAGAATGTATACATGTGCAAAATGCCACGCTAATGCATCATCAACTACAACTAGATTCTTTGCGTGCAGTAGAGCGCAATCCCATGAGAGAGTGTCAAATAGAGTAGATTTCAACATTTCAAGTTACTTTGGACTTTTACTACAAGCTTTGATTCGCAGTTTAAAGACAATCAAATTACCTTGCCATATGCCGTCTGCAAGTTAATATTTCCATGGAGTCATTCAGGTATCTAGCACGTCATCTTCGTGTCAAGCTCGAATCATAAATCCAATGGTCCTGGTTCTGAGATCTTCAATGATTAATGAGTTGAAAAGGTTAGAGCACGACAATAAAGAACAGCTTTTTGTGTCCTTTTCCATTATCATTGAGGTCCTTTGGGTAGGTAGCTTGGAGTTAGTCATTAAGGAACAAGTTTAAAGTTAAAGTATTCTGATGAGGTAAATCGAAATCAAGCTGTCGGAGTTCAGAGTGTGAGGAACATGATAATACGGCAAGGCAAATAAAAAACACAAATAAAGACAACCTTCAGTTCAGCATTATTGATCTGAGAAACTATGGAAATGAAGTGGAAGTTTGACTTATCAACATCATTTATGAGTCGTCTACTCTTCTCACTGTAACAATCTTGAAGATATCAGCATGGTCGATACTTATTCTACATTTATCACAACTTCAGTACTCCGAGCGAATCTTGTTTTGGAAACTAGACGGATCGTTATCCTGTAATGTCTTTTTCATCATGTTAACTCGATCTCTTTCAATTCCAATCTTGGTAACACTATCTCAGCTTCTCAGTGCCCAATTTCTGGGGGGACGCGTCGATGATGAATCATTGCGCTTATCGATCGCTCGAAGACCAGAATGTGATAGGATGAGGCGCGGCAGAGTGTCAGCCAAGCTTTGGAAGTCGAAAAGACCGAGGATGAAGATTCGAACATTGGTCAGGGGAAGAGGCGGGGAGTCCGTCGAATGATCACATATAGGATGCATGTAGATGAAAGAATCTTCTACTACGAATATATGACCAGCGAGTACTCGAGGGTTTATGCATATCTCAGGCTCCAATTGGTAGACTCAATGGTGCTGGATTCTTTGCATTGTGCTTAATTGTAGTATAAGAATGCACTTTTTAGTCCCGTTCCATAAATTTACGGCTCTAATTTCTGAGCCAGGGTTGTACTAGCAGCCCATGTTTGTAGATATAGTGCGGGCTGATTGGAGACATGGAAGTCCAGATTAGACTCGTCCATTTGGCATTCAGTCGAATGGTGATAGGCCTTCAGAAAAACGAATTCACTTTGTGTTTATGGAATATACGGCAATTGTACGGCTACTAGCTCGACGTAGCTGAGATTTCCTCTTACGAAGCCGAATAAATGAAACTTAAGATTTATAATCAAGAGGGATACTTCACTCAAGTGCAATTTTCAACCCAAACAACGCGGAGAAGAGAGTAGCGAATGCGAACGACACGTTATATTCCATCATACATACGATATCGATATTCATGACACATAGGTACCGCTATACCAAGTACCTTCAATATCTCTGGGACTTTTTGAAAGTATGGCTCCGATCTCGGAAAAGTCTTTATAACCATCACTTCTTCCAGGTTCAAACCCATTCTGATATCCATGGAACATCTCATCTTCATAATCAATGCCAGCTTAATCGTGGCTACTCCATATACATCGATCCTTATTGTTCAACATCAGAATCATCAAACCCTTCTATAATAGAAGAAAGTCCCCTCTATATAAGAGAAGCCACGGTAGATAGATACTCGACATGGACGATGAAATTACGCCGGTCGGTGAGACACACAGAACGCCAGAATTATATGAATCGGTAATTCCAGATCTTGCACGCCTACTTCTCAGTCAGCACTTGCCATCTGTGGATGGCAAGGGTGTTACAGTTGATGAATTCGCCGCTGTAGTAGAGAAAGCAACAGCAAATATCCACAGCAAGAGAGTTTTTCTTCAACTCCAACTACTGCGACCAGATTACGTGCAATTTCTTGTTGATCAGCAAGTTTGGGAAACCTTCTGTAAGCTTTTAATTAGTTATTTGCATCCCAACAGAGATGAGACTAACTATTAATAACAGGCGGAACTCCAACCCAAAAACACAATCCACACTACAGACCGTTTCCAAGAAAAGATCCTCGAATCGATAACCCTCTTCCTCAATACTTTGACCCCAGCGTTCTTACACCCGATGATTATGGTCTCATATATCGAAACAATTTGCACCCAAATTGTCCCAACTGTACCTGTGGCACCATTTCCCGAGGCAACCCCGAGAACCAAAGCATATATGAAGATGGGGGTGTTTGGTTGACTACACCTAAAGAGGAGTACAATGCTTATCAAGATGATGTTACTAAGTTTTGTGAGAGACTTGAAGAAAAGTCGAAGAGACTAGGTTACAAAGACCTAGATGTTCGGTGGGAGAGGGAGTGTGAGATTGAACAGGCTAAGGAAGCTGAAAGAATCAGAAATGATAAAGAGCAAAAGAGAAAGGCGGATATAGAGGCAATTAAGATCAACGAAGTGGCAATCATAGAAAATGCAGAAGAATCACAAGAGCCAAAGAGAAAGATAGATCTAGAGGCACATAAGATCGACGAGGTAGACATATTGGACAATGCAGAGGAGCCAAAGGAGTCAAAGACGAAGACAAACTCCATGACAAAGAAGGCGAAGGTGAAGAGTGCGAAGAAGCTTTGTTCTGGCTGTTTTTGCATGTAGCAACATGGTGAAGATGTTTATCATATGATGGGGTTTAGATATTGCGAGTCTGGCATTATCAGGCGGCGGGGGTACAGGGGAGAACGGCGGCGATTCTTTTTGGAAACGCAGTTTCTCTATCTTTCTCTTTATTCTATCTGCTAGATTTGCCGATATCAATTCTTTGATATCTAATTCTAGTAGTACTTAATGAAGATGTTGCGAAGAACTTTCTTTTATCTCAGTTATTCACAAAAGCCTCGGAACTATAGACTTTGAGTGTATGGCACAAGTTCGAGTGGCAATTTGAGGATGAGATTTCTCGGAAGAAAATGATGACTCCTCAAACAGAAGCCAGTATTTGTTTCTCTACAGCTAAAAACTAGCATACGTACGTTTGGGATCTTGCCTCCTGTAATTCAACTTAATTCATATGTAATACAACTTTCCTCTATGCCTCGAAAGTGCTTTGAATTTATTCTCAACCTAACAACCTCCTATTCAAGACTACATCTTAAAGTCAACTAATTGAATAGTGTAAACTTTACTTGCAGAAAAGAAGGGACAGAGGTGAAAGAGAGCTAGATGTGATTAGTCGTTGAGAATACACAATCTCAACTGCTTTGAAGAAAAGAGTAATTGGAGCTTGAAAGAAGATCCGCCATAACTTCCGTCTACACTGTGTCTCTGAACCCTCTGTTGAAACGTCTAAGAGAATTCATCTCCTAGCAGCGGAGAAACCAGGCTTCCAGAGTTCGGCAAATAGTGAGGCTGTACATATGAAGTAGGTGAATCATGACGTCAGTGATTTTATGGCAATAAACTTTCTTGTGTCAACTACAGCATCTACTCGAGAAAAGGGGTGACATTCATAACCCAGGCATGAGAAACGTTTTGGCTAACAACACAAGCATCACGTTGCAAATCCGAAATCTCGAACACCCTCTTCAAAATTCCTTCTCAGTGAGATGTTGAGATATGTTAATTTACAGTGATATCTTATGGTGAGAATTATTGTGGTGATCTAATTCCTTCCATTTCGCGCAAAGTTGTGTATCACCATACACCCACAAATATCGAAGATGCCACCTCTTCCTCTTACACCATCGTTAAGCGAGTAAGACCACAGCACGGACAATTGAATAACCGATATCCCTACATCGTGCACAACCCTGTATCTTATACGCTTTAATTTATTGAATTAAAAATTGATTATAAATCCAAAACTCTTTATAATAATATCAAAGTTTATAAAAAACAAATTGAAGATTAATGAAATATAATAATCAGTTTTTAATCAATTTGAAATATTAAATGGAATATTAATTGATTTAAAGGATAATATTTTAAGATATTAATAATTTAATAAAAATTTATATTAGAATGAATCTATATAACTAAAAATAAGTTTTTCAAATTAATTTATATTATTATTATTGAAAAAAAGTTTGGAATTTTGAAACATATAAAAAATTAAATTTTAAATACAATTTCAAAAATATATATAATATTCAAAAAAATAAAAAGAATTTAAAAATTCTTTTTAAAATATTTTAAAATATTTCTTTATAGATTTTAAGAATCTGAAATTATTATTTGGATTTTAATTAGAAAATTAAACTTTTTTATATTAGAAAATATATAATATAATAATAATAAAATTATATAAAAATAATAAATAATTAAAAATTATAATTTATTATATTATAAATTAATATATAAAACGAAAAAAAAATATATTCTAATTTCTTAATAAATAAGTCTATTAGTTTTTTTAAAAAAAAATATTATAAATTCATTTTTAAAAGAATTTATTTTTGAAAAAAAAAGTCCTTAAATTTTATAATATTCTTAATAATTTTACAAATTAAATATAATTACAATTCAATATTATAATATATTCTGTTTTTTGTTAATACTCAAATTAGTTCTATTTTTAATAAATTTAAGAAAAAATCTTTTTTAGAAATATCTTATTATTAATTATATAATTGTTACAACGGATTAGTAACAGACTGTAGAATCACTGACTTATAGGCTATAATGATATTATAGGCCTTAGTGATTCAGCTGTAATATACCGGGGAACATTAGGCACTTAAGGAAAGCCTTAGGCATGTATATAATATTAATTATAGGATACCCTAGAAACCTAGAACATAGTTCTCAGGATAGTAGATCCTAGAAAAGACAAAACATAATAAACAAGAAGGCTTCATTAGGATTAGTAATGTCCCAGAGGATTAGCCCCAGGACAAAAGAATAAGCTAGAACATCAAGAGTTATGGGATTAGTGTCCTGTAATAAACAGCTTAGGAACGACAGCGCTCCAGGAGCAACCGGCTGTCCCAGCTATCCAAATAAGACGAAGATTTATATAAGGGAATGGGTTTCATTACAATATAAAGCTTCATGCTCAAGAACAATTATTAGTTTAATTACTATAATTATAAGAATTACAATTAATTACAATCTTATTAAATTTTTACTTGAAGTTTAATCTAAATCACCTCGAGAGATCTTTAGACACTTCCACATGATCCTAGAGGTAGCTCCCGTAACAATAATCCTAATATTTAATTTTTATAATTTTTTTAATAATTAATTATATATATATATTTAATAAAATATAGCTTTTTTGGTTTTATAATTAAAATTAATCTATTAATAATATTATATAATTAAAAAGCTTAAAAATCATTATAAAATACTTGATTTATAATTAATTTTTATTTTAAAAAAGATTATTTATAAAAGTTAAATAATATATTAATATAATATCAAATTTACAATATAAAAACTTAATTTTTTCAATTCTTTATATTAAAATATATTCAAATTTATAAAAAAAAAATTGAAAATCAATTTTCGTTATTCCTATTAATAAATAAATTAATATATAATATTTTTATATTAATAATTTTAATATTGAAATTATATTATATATAATAATTATTTTTATATAATAATTACTTTATAAGAAATAAATAATAATATAATATATTATTTATAATTATTAATAGAACTTAATAATTGATTGATTATATATTGAATTTAGAATATCTTTTTTAAAAGAAATAAAGGTGTGTACGATAAGTCGAGTACTCTACTTTCAAACCACCCCCCTTTTAGACCACTTTTTACACCAAAAATGAAATTTTTAATTTTCTTATTTATAAATAAAATTTATTGAAAATTTGAATATATATAATTTAGATCATTTTTAGTTTACTTTGAAAATTTCAGATTTTTAGGAATTTTCTGTATTGAGATCTAAAGCTTCAAAATATCGATTTTTAAATTTGTATAAGAATCACATATAAATTTGAAACTTTTATAAAATCTTTAATAACTTTTTAATAAAAATTGTTAAAAATAAATCATAAAATTTTATAATAAATTTATAATATATTCATTTTAAAAGATTCAGAAAAAAAAGAAAATTTCCTATAAATAAATATTTAAAAAAATACCCTCAAAATTGCAGGGATTATTTATACTATTCTAAACTCATTATATAATATATCTCTATATTCATTAGTTTTTCTTAATTTTTTTTTTAATTTCTATATAATTTTAAATTCAAAACTTTCAAAAAGATATATAATTTCCTTTTAATAATTGTTATTAAAAAGTTATTAAAGATTTTATAAAAGTTTTAAATTTGTATATAATTCCCTTATAAATTGAAAAATCGATATTTTAAAGCTCTAGATCTTAATACAGAAAATTCCTAAAAATCTGAAATTTTTAAGGTAAACTAAAAATGATCTAAATTATATATATTCAAATTTTTATTAAATTAGATTATATATTGATAAAGATATTAATAGGCTGAAAAAACGATTTTTGATATAAAAGTGTTACAGGAGCTGCCTCTAGAGTTATGTAAAAGTGTTTAGAAATCTCTCGAAATGGTTTAGATTAGACTTTAAGTAGGAATTCAATAAGGTTGTAATTAGTTGTAATTCTTGTAATTATAATAATAAAACTAATAATTGTTTTTGAATATGAAGCTTTACATTATAATAAAACCCCTTTCCTTATATAAACCTTCATACTTTGATTAAATCGATAAGTCTACTCGACTACTCGAGTTAACAAATCGAATCGACTTTCCTTCATATAATACTTATCCTTATGACCTAATAAGACTACTATTTATCTAACCTATACTTATTAATTAACCTATAACTACTATATATCTTATACCTATTATAAAATAAATACCAATAAAAAATAAGTACCTATCTTTTAATCACTACTTATTTATTCGATTACCACTAACGTGATTCATCACCGAGTGGATTATATCATCAAATAAATTATTTTCACCTCAAATATTTATGTTTTAATTCAATATATATTTTATCAATTAATTATTATATAATTGAATAATAATAAAGCTCGAATACTCTTAGTTATCAAGACTATTCGAAAAAAACAAAAAACTTAGTATTTAATGATCTGCCAAGCTATATAATATATTATATACAATATTATATTATAGAATAAATGATTTTACTCCTTATATCGAATCTCTACCAAATAATAATAATCTTTTGAAATTAAAAGAGGAGATTATTATTCAATATATAATTGATATGAATATAAAAGGTTTTGTACTTAAATATAAGGGGGTAGAAGATATAGTGAATCATATTCTTGAATTAAAAAAAGCAAAGAGAGTTGGAAAGTAATGGGCGTATCTATTTGTAAAATGTAATAAAAAGTTAAGGATGTGTTTTACTTGTATTTATGATTTTCAAAAAGCTTTTTGCGAAGATCCTAAGCTTATTGGAGATTGGTTCCGATTTATATCGAATATATGAGACAAATTTAATATTCTCGATTGTAATTTATGAAATTTCGATGAAACAGGCTTTGTAATGGGAATTATAAATTCTGGTATGGTTATTACTAGTTCTAAGAGATCTAGTAGGAGTAAAGCTATACAATTAGGCAATCAAGAATGGGCGATAGTGATTATATGTAATAATAGTGAAGGGGATATTATACCT